GGGTATGGTGCCTTCTTTTAATAATTGCTTATTTACTGTCTAAAAGCACTTTGTAATAGTTGATGTGAATAAAGTATATAATTAGATGAAAGAGTATAACGAGATATTAATAAGGAGTTAATAAACAGTATCAACAATTTAGAACAAGAAGTGATATACTATTTTGGTTATATAGATAAACCAGTACAGTATTTACCAATCTTAAGTGTGTGTTTTATAGAACAAATTGTCAAACAATATAATAAATGTGGGAGTCGCTGGGTTGTTTCAAACTAAGAATGGATTGTGCAGCAACGTTTGCAGATTGGCAGATGATACAAAATTAAGACTGGTAAAAGTTCAGGACCCCAAAATCCTAAATTTTGATTTAGGCATTCATTATGGACAAGATTAGGCAGATACAATTTAATGGTGACAGAGGTAGGGTTGTGATAAATGATAGTTACCAGAAATCAGATGGACTTGAAATTGCTAAATCTCAATGTTATATCTGGGAGTCATGATTAGATAGATTCTTAAGCCAAGAAGTCAATGAACAGTATTTACAATGAAATAAAGCAAATAGGATACTAGTATTCATATCTAGAATCATGGGCAATAAGACTTCAAATATTTTTCTTTTTTTATTTGTTTTTGCAGTGGTATCTTGTTAGGCCCCATTTCTCTCTAGCCTCGAATGGAGCTGTTAAGTGTGCAACAATATTTCAACCTAGAGTGCACTGCTGTCTTGAAAAGTACTGTCATTGTTTGGCATCTTTTGTTTGAAAGGTTCTTGTCCAGCCTGTCACTTTTCTTGCAGTTGTGACAGCTACCTTCCTGAGAGGAGCCCCACGGTGGCTTCCTGAAGCTTCAGGAAGCCCCAAATATTGGGTCACATCAGTTGCAGGAGTCGCGTTAGGTCCACTGAGAACCATAGCCAGAACCTGGCTACCTCATAGGTGCAAAGAACATGAGACTATTATTGTCATCCTTACCTGGAAAGCATCCAGAAAGTCACTGAAACTTTACAGACAACTGTAAGGTTCATAGAAAATGAAACCCAGAAACTACCAGACAACTCTGCAAACTATTCAGGCGAGACTAGCAATTCACGAAACAAATAAACCTTATGTTTGCTGATGATTACTAAGATAAAAGGGAAGATAAGAAACTTAGATGATTGTCATGCTTTTCAAGATGACCTGGACAAAATAAGTATATGGAGCACCACTTGGCAAATGGAATTTAATGTGGAATAGGAGAACATAGACCCCACACAACCTATAAATTATGTGAGAAATCTTTTAAAGTATTCTGATAAAGTAAGAGATCTAGGGGTGGTTCAAGATAAGAAGAAAAAGTCCCCCAAAGACCACATAAAGAACATTGTGTGAGGAGCCTATGCTACACTTTCAAACCTCAGAATTGCTTTTAAATATATGGATGGAGAAATAGTACTAAAGAAATTGTTCACGCCTTGTTAGACCAAAGTTGGAATATGCAGCGGTTGTATGGTGCCCATATTTGCATGCAAAGACATGCCACTAAGTGGCTTCCAGAACTGAAGGACAAGAGCTACGAGGAGAAGTTAGACACACTAAATATGCAAAAACTAGAAGATAGAAGAAAAAGAAGCGATATGATCACTACATACAAAATAGTAACAAGAATCTATAAAATTGATAAAAGAATTCCTGAGACCTGGAACTTCAAGAACAGAGGTCATAGATGTAAACTAACAAAACAAAGCTGCCAGAGAAATATAAGAAAATTCACTTGTAAACAGAATAGTAGACGGTTGGAACAAGTTAGGCAAGAAAGTGGTGGAGTACAAAACCATCAGTAATTTCAAAGCGTTATATGACAAGAGTGCTGGGAAGACAGGACACCATGAGCATAGCTCTCATCCTGTAACTACACTTAGGTAATTACTCTGGCATAAACCTATTAATACCCATAGCTGCCACTAGGCAATTTGGAGCCCTGACCCACTCCTGCTCCACTAGCCGGTCCTGTCGCTGATACGTAAACACTGTAGTAGTGCTCTCCTGGTAGTCATTCATTGCAGTGAGTCCCACTGCTTCTCATCCAGCTGCCGGCTATCCTTTGAACTTTGTCCTGCAGAGGCTCGTATTTTTGTTATTTTACTAATTTTTTCTTTATTTTACTATCTGGTCTATGGCTACATTATGAGGTTCTAGATTATTCCTGGCTGGCTGACAATCCTATCTTTTCTTTGGGGCTTGGCATGGTTTGTATTGAATCTGAATGCCTCAATGATGGGAAGCAAGTTCCGTCTTTCAGGTGTTCTTGAGTGGAACTTCCTATTCTATGCTCAAGGATACGTACTTCAGTGCTCACCAGTGGCTTGGGCAAATGGTGGCTCCATGTGCAGCTGCCCGTGTTTAGGGCCTTTTTGGGATAACTAAAAGACTCGTACGGAGTGTGTTGAAGTAACGCATGTTTTGTCTTAGAGCTTACAATGGCAGCATACTTGGCTCACTTCACGTGTTGGCAGGCAGTGCTGGCCCAGTCCTCGTTTTGGCTTTGTTCTTAACCCTTTTGTTTGCCTTCCCTGTCAGCAGCTCTCTTTGTTCTGAGGATGATGTTGACCAGGTTCTTTCTGGTGCTGCTTGTTGTCCTATCAGTCAGTTTGTTTCATAGAGGTTCTGCCCTGCACCTTTCGAAGTGGTCAAGAAGGGTTGGGGCCTTGCCTGCTTATGGTCGAGATAGGTCCTCAGGGGGAGCCCGATTCTCTGGCTGATGCACTTTCCTTTACTTTCCCGTAGGCTGGGCCACAAGGGACACTAAGCCACAAAACCATCACAAGGTATGTAAGGTTCCTCTGCGGTGGCTTCTGCTTCTCGGTGCCATTCTGTGTTCCTGAAGGATGATGCTGCTTGTGGTTCTCTCCATCCCTTGCACAGTTTGCCCTTTGGATGACACTGGGGGAGTATTTGGTCCATTTTGTCAGCTCCTGGTCTCACAACTTGTGTGGAATTTTCAGGTCATCTCCCACAGTCTTTAATGGAGTTTATCAATCCCTACCCTTCTCATGGAGTCAGGGCTCACAGGTCAGGAACTGTACCAGGTCAACACAATGTATAGTGGTGGGAATCATGTGTGGTTTAAAGCACTTCACCCCTATGTTGGGTGTACCAGTTTCTCCCATCCTAAGGCAGGATTTGGCAGACCACCTGTACGCACGCAGTCTGTTGGGTTTGGACAGCTTCACTCCCTGTCTGACATGATCACTTTGGCTCAAGTTCATCTGGTGTTGCAGGTGGATTCATATATGGTATCTCTGGGGCTCAAAGGAGTGTACTGGCACATTCCAGTTCATCCCAGGTTCAGGGACTAGTTTCATTGTCGGGCATCAGGCTTACCCCTTAATGGTTCTTCCCCTTGTCCAGAAAAACCGGGCTCCCTGCATGTTTACCAGGTTGGCATGGGCAGTGGTGATCTGGCTGTTTATTGAGGGTTTCTGGTTTGCCAACCTCAACAACTGGCTGGTCTGTGTGGCAGCTGGTTAGGGATTGGGTTCTTTTCCAGCTCACTTTGTTTGGGTTTCTCGTGGAGTGTCAGAAGTTGTAGTTGGTTTCATCCCAGGTTTGAATTTGGCTGGGCCTTGTTTAGGACGCCTGGGTAATGTCTTGTCTCCTTTGACTCCTGCTCCATCTGCAGTGTTGTCTCTGTCTGGTATTGTTGTTCTTTAGGAGCGACTGGTATTGCGACTCACCCTGGGTGACCCGGTGTTTGGGTCAGCTTTTCTGGTGTGTTTACTTCGTTACAGGATAAAATTTGCTCGTCTGTGCTGAATGTTTTCCAGTGCAGTTGTTTGGAGATGATATATCCTATACAGTACTGTTAAATTTTGTATTAAAATGATTTTGCAGTACACATTGCAATAATGTCTCTGTATTGCGGGAAGACATAGAGCTAAACATGAAGGAACAGGCTCCTATTGATTGTTTATGCTGTATGGCTTGTTGTCAAATAACGATGTTTTGAACATAAAAATGTCTATGAATTACTTTATAAAATAAAGTAGGCCCAGTGGGAACAAAATTATTTTTAATTTTTGAAGTGGATAACACACCCTTTTGACTTCAGAATGAGCAGGTATGAATTTGCCCAGGCCTACCAACTTTACCCAAAAATTAAAAATATATGAAATTCTAAATAGTCTTCTATCAATACATCATTGATTACAACCCATTACACACAAATGACAATAGCGTGATGTGTGATGCAAATGAACAAATCCACAAGGGCCACCCTCGTCACGGTCCTTGTGGATTTGCTCAATACAACCCATCCTCCGAATTGACAGTATGGTTTAATACTAACTGTAATAAGTACATTACCTTACTGTTATACATAGTACATAATTGCACTTATGGGGCTGTTACATTTACCTCCCCATTTATTCTCCTTGTTTTCTGTTAAGACACTCACAATTTTAGGATGAAGTTTTTAAGTTTAATTTGCTATACACAAGTTAGGAATTTCTCAATTCCTAACTCAAGTTAGGAATCAGGAATTTCTTTTTCAGTTTTATTAAACAATAGAGATTTTATACAAAATTTTAAAATATCCTGAGTTACTTTACAATTTATTGAAATATATTAGTTTTGTTTTATTAGTTTATAAAACTGTAATATCAATATAGCTATAGGTTAAGTAATAATTGTAATTAAGAAGCAATAAAATGCTTATCTTCAAACACTAAGAAGGTTAGGTTAGGTCGTAGTTTTCTATTCAGCTTTTCAGGTAAACTCAAATATTCACAATATATTTGACAGGACGGTTTAATACTAAGTGAAAATAAGTACAATTCCTGACTACTATGAATAGTACATAATTGCACTTAATTGTGCTGTTACGTTTACCTCCCCATTTTTGGAGGACGGGATGTTAGATTATTAGAAAAACATGCTATTACTGTACATCTTATGGTCTCAGTGGGACCTTAATATTTTATTAAGACCTTTATTTATTTGATTCTCTTTGACTTTCAGAGTAATTAGCCAGAATGGAAGAAGATACAGAATACCTAAAACTTCCCCTCGAGGACCGCTGTGTACACAAGGTGAGCTTTGTTACCCTTTTACTGAACATCTTGATTGTTACCAGTAATGGAATTGTGGACGAGGAGGCATGTATACCTACTGCTCAATTTCCATGTTTTATGTTACATTTCTATACTAACAGAGATACTAGCTATTCTTTGTCAAGTAATTTTAATTTGTAGTGACTTAAATTTTGATCCCAAATGTAAATCCTGAATAGCTTTCGCATACACCTAGTTTCTAAAACCCCCTTCCCATCACTGATTATTACATCTCCTTGGTAGAGATTGTACACCCTTGCTTAAATGAACTCATTGGGACCAACCATGCCTTTCTCTCCCATCTTTAAATTGGTTTGCATCCAGTATTAGCACAAACTTGGTTCTTTTTAATTTGTTTTTTCTCTTGCGAAAGGTGACAGGTTTTGATGATAGCTGCACTTTAAGGGTTAATGAAGCAAACTAGATGTGGCAGTACTGTACTGCATTGTACTCTTGATATGATCATGGCAAAAAATTAAGAAATATTTGGGAACATTAAAATCACATATAATACTGTACAGTATATACATAATTAATCATTAACACACTAAAGCTCAAACAAACAAACCCAACTACTTGGGCTGGACGGTAGAGCGACGGTCTCGCTTCATGCTGGTCAGTGTTCAATCCCCGACTGTCCAAGTGGTTGGGGCACCATTCCTTCCCCACTGTCCCATCCCAAATCTTTATCCTGACTCCCTTCCAAGTGCTATATAGTCGTAATGGCTTGGCGCTTTCCCCCCACCCCGATAATTTCTCAAACAATGTACCCAAACAAAATGTCAGATATACAGGGATGTTCAGTAAAATTGATTGTAAATCAAAATGTTTTGATTTGAGAAAATACAGAAAATTTAAGTGCGTCTGTGGAAAGCTCCTGCGCACTAAAACTGCATCACAATGCATAAAAAATGAATGCATAAATGCATAACACTCTACATTGTGATGGGTTGTGGTATTGCAGCTATACTGAACCAAGGTGGTATGGCTCTCCTGCACATAACAAAATTGCTGCTATTGGCCTTGCAGTGTGTAAGTCGCAGGTGGAAACAAATATAAATCATCAAATAAACAATTAAACAATTTACTGAAATATTAATGAACATAAATGCCCATGAAAATACTTGGCTCATGTAATGCAAAAGTGAACAAGTTAGTATGATCTTAAATGTAAAAATAAACTTCAGTATAAGCAATGAAGAACAGCATAAAGATATACTGGTGTACTGAAGACAGCTACCATACCACCATGGCATCAATCACACGATGTTGGCTGAAGGCGGACGATGGGTGAGAGAGACACGAAGGTGATCCTAGAGCACTAAGGAAGAGACTGGCTCTCCAGGGAGGCAGCGCCCTTTATATAGTCCTGCGGTGATGACCATCCAGTGTCAACGTGAGGTGGACCTCTGGTCAACTAGCAAACTGCTTGTTATGGCTGGCGGTGCCTTTGTGTTGAGCTGCACCACTGTCAGTTGAAGGCGGCTAACTGCTTGTTTGTGGGGGCAAACTACCGGTTAGCAGAGGCACCCAGCTTGCCTCCGAGTCGTACCAGGCCGTGCCAGGCCCTGGGGGGTATGGAGAGGTGGCAGGACTGATGACTCATCTCGGCTGGTGTAGATGTATACTTCCAGTGCAGAGGCATTGAAGGTGAAGGGAAAAGGCAGTTCCACTGCTATGATGGGGATTCACGTGACAACATATAATATTCCTAGCAAAGGACCAAAAAGAGGATCGATGTGGGGAAGGAACGCAGATGAATACATTAAATAGCTAGATAGAGCGATGAACTGTTCAAGCAAGTTCATTGTTGAGTAAATATAATCAGAGTAGGCATACTGTAATAGGATTAAAACTTTTTTCTCAAGTTGGTCCATTGCAGAATTTATATTCTTAGTGTTTTATTTTCTTCAATTTGCAGCTATGGAAGGCCCGTCTCAATGGATATGAAGAGTGCACTAAACATTTTTCAAAAATCACAGATGAACGATCTCCAGAATTCAACAAATTTGCACCTCTCATGAAAAAATTTGTTACCGATAGTAATGCTGTTGCTCAAGAAAAGGCTTTGGATGCAGTCTTGGCATATGTGGAGAATGCCCACATTGCTGGCAAGTAAGTTGATACTCTCAAGGGTTTGCTTATGTCGTGTACTATTGTCATTACCTGCCATTCAGTAGGACTGCTTTTGAGTTAGTGTCAACAAACTAAATGTACTGATTGAGATGAAGGGGTGTCACTGATATATTCCTGTAGTTCTGCATTCATCCTGAGTTACCGTTACTTAAACCTGAGTAGTTTCAAGTTATTTAATTATTACAAGTCAAACTTTGCTGCTTATACATAACAGTAATTATCATAAATCTTTTCCAGAGGGTTGCATTTGTGAGTGTTCACTCATTCGTCTAGTCTTCTACCCCTGTGGCCAGTAGAAATTAATAATATACTGTACTTATTTGGTGCACAAATGCAGATGACATTAGTGCCGAAACTTAGTTCTAAGCTATGAAACATGTTAAAAGGGAACTCTGTAATGACTAGAGTGAGGTGCCAGAGGTGATATCTTATTTCATAAAGATGTTAATACATAAGCACTAATCAATTTTTCAGTAATTTCATTACACATTGTCCACTTCCCTTGGTAAATTAATGCCTTTAGTTCTTATTACAATATAATGTTTTGTATTGTACAATCACAGCACATTCAATCCTTTAGCACATTACCACATTTTAATTGTCTGCCCATATCTCATCACTGCCTATTTTCCTACATTCCAGAGTCCTCAGTGATGTATTTGCTTCTTCTGTAATAGCTGCTCCCATTCCTACTGGTCTCCTTGTCTCTCCTATGTCTTTGGTTTCTTGGTCTTGCAAAAATGTGAATATTCTCAAGTCAGGACCCAGTTTCGGTGGTGGCTGCTGGGTGTGCTGATAGGCAATTAGAGAGCGCTTGAAGGGTCTTCCGAGTGTTTGTGAATGAACCTCATGGGGAGGCTTTTACAGGCTGAATGACTATTCTTTGGCATCTTCCTCGCACCAATATAACCAGGAAGGGGGCATTTTGAAAAGCTCCCTATTGTGCCAGTGTAGAATGTCTATTTGTTTCAACTGTTCTAGATACAGTCCATAATGGCAAAGTAAGATCTTATCTTAGGAAGCAAGTGAGTTTTTTTGTTCAGAATACGTATTTAGAATAACACGCATTTCTTTATTATTGTATTTATTAAATAATCCTACAGTTTTTGTATTTGATATTTGATGGGAGCAGTTTGCTCTTTCCACTCTAAAATGTGTTAAATTCATTCATGTGAAATGATGATTTATCTTTTTATCTTGTGCCAACAGAACTGCTGGTGACTGCACATCAGGCATCGTCCAAAAATGCTTGGCTGCTGCAAAGCGAGGCACTCAGGAGAAGGCGTTGGAGGTTATTCTTATGTACTGTGAAATTGAGAAATATGAGGTGGTCCAAGAAGAGCTCATGAAGGGCTTTACACAAAAGAACCCAAAGGTGGTGGCAGGATGTGTGCATGCTATAAGTACAGCTTTGAGGTATGTAGCATGCTGAGTATGTCAAATTTTAGTTTACCCTTTACTGTACCTGCCAAATTGCTTGCTTAGGAGCAAAATCTAGTTTCCATCCTTTCCTCCTAGTTGTGGTACATGGGGGCATATATACCTCTCATTGCTCATTACAGCACTTGCTTGTACCACTTAGGCCTCAAGATCATTCTTCTTTTATTTACTGCCCTCACTACATTAAAACATTTCCTTACATTTCTCTGGCTCGTGTGTGTGTTTCAAATTTCCACGTCTCCTCATTATGTAGTGTTCACTATGCAATGAAATTTAGTGAGAAAACTTAGTATGTATGCAAACTCTGTCCTGAAAGTGACAAATAGAATTTAGTTAAGCACCTTGCTGGATGTGATGGAATGAATGGCACTATATTTCTTATTTTAAGAGGTGTAGATACTATTCTGCATATTTTTGCAAGTGTTGGTAGTGATAATGATTTCTCCCCGAGGTTTAAAGATTTTATACATGATCACACTTATTATTATTATTATTATTATTATTATTATTAAAACAAGGTATTCTGATATTTGTCTTGAGTTATTTGTTCTGTTTCTATCATTGTTAACTTTTCCCCTTAACACTTTTTACATCCTTAGGTTAATGTCAAGAAATGAAATAAGAAAATGTGGTAATAATTAAATTTCTCATCTTGAGTTAAAAATTAGATGTCATTACTAATGTATTGTTTTATTACTAGGGAATTTGGACCCAAAGTAATGAACCCAAAGCCCTTGATGAAACAAATGCACACACTGCTAGAAGACAGAGACAAGACTGTGCGGGAAGAGGGTAAAAAACTGGTTGTCGAACTGTACAGATGGATCGGTCAAGCTCTGAAGCCACAGATGTCTTCTCTTAAACCAGTTCAGGTAATGTGAAAGGATAAAAGTTGATGAGTTCTGGTGTGTGTTTTTTTCCCAAAATGTTGAAATGCTGTTAACCTGCAAAATTAATTTGGACAAATAAAACATTTTTCTTTGACCTTGTTAATTTTACCCTGTCAGTAGTTATTGTTGAAGTTAAGCAAATCCATTATTTTTTTGAGTTTTCTCTCACTGTGAATGAGCTAAAATCTTATCTGACCTTTCAAGGCTGAAGTGAAGTATTTTTAATACATATATTAATAGGTTCAAGAATTAGAGGCAGAGTTTGCAAAGCTTGGAAATGAGAAGGTGGTTCAAACACGCTTCCTACGATCTCAACAAGAACTCCGTGCCAAGATAGAGGCTCAAGAAGATGGAGAGGCAGACGAAGGTACTGACAGTGTTTGTGACTAATAATGTACTGTATAATAATTGCTAAAACTGTGTGTGCTAGCATTAAATGCCTCTCAGCATTAAAACTAAATGCTGAGAGGGAGAGTGCTTTGAAGTAATGTTTTCAGTCTCTGGCCATCACAGCCTTAATTCTACAGCATTTCCCTCAAACTGTAACACTTGACACTAATGTTATACAGAGTCTTAAAATTTATTTTGAAAAGTTCATTGCTTATCACAGCTGTCCATGTGGAACCAGAGTAATTGTTCAGAATGTGATGCAGACATGATTATACCTCAATGTTTATAAAGTCTAGATTTCTCCTGAACTATACATGTCTTAACACTTTCGCGCTATCTGGACGCGCCGGCGCGTTCGGTTTCGTCTAACGTAAACGCATAGTGGACATAAAGTTATGTCTACTTTTAAAATATTTGTATAAAATTCAATTTTTATCCGATTTACTTTGGGTTTGTTTCAAACTGCGCGCTATGAGGCTCTCTTTCTCACCACTAGGCTGCATGGTACAATAAGTTCATGAAAGGTGTGGATAACTTCGATCAAATGGTATTTTGTCCCAAATGGGTTGCAGGTGGGTGACTTTAGCCGTTTATACTGGTAATTCTTCCCCCATATCATGTATTATATGCATATGTCTGTTTAGGGAATTTTATTCCGATCAATATACAACCAAAAATAACTGTGTGCAACAAGTATAATCTTGACAAACATAACAAAAGTAAAAATATTTCGTGGGTGTTTGACGCTCACTGATATGTTCCAGCGTTGTTTTATATTTGTCGCTATTCTAACTTACGCTTTGTTGATATTTTTTACCTATGGGCACATAGAACATTCTATTGCGAACACATTGACATAAAAATGAATGACGTACATAGAAAATTAATGTCATGAGAGTGAAATAAGTATAAACTTTCAAAGCGCCGTGCGTCGTCCCGTCACCGATACCGGGTAACAATTTCACCACTTCCCACACTCTTGCGGGCGGGCTGCATCATTATTCTACGCTTATATTCATATCACCGTGTTGGGAATTTCATTGCGAGTCCATTGATACCAAAATTAACGCTGTAGAACAAGTGTGGAGGTGATTACAATCCCAAGAGTAAAAACATTTTGTTGCTGATGGGCGCTCACGGCGAGTCATCTACGTAGTTATTTATTTGGTGCTGGTATCCCTATATGTTTCGTGACTTATTTTACTAATGTTCTTCTAGAGAATTTTATTGCGAACACGTTGGTACCAAAATGAAATACGTAGCATGAGAACTAAGGTCAGAAGAGTAAAAAGAGTATACACACATTTGTTTTTACGCTTAAGCGATAAAAACGCAGCGCGCACATTCGGTTGGCTGAGTGACCTTTGCGGAGAGCGCAAAAGTGTTAATAATTACATTTATTCAAATTGTTCAAAATGGTTTTTGATTTATAATACTTCGAGTGAATATACTACCTCAAAAATAGGTTGTAACAAATTACAAAAGGCATTTCAAGGCCTTCTCTGTCAGAGTAGTATGTTAATTTCTTGCATAGACTCCAAATTCCCCTGGCAGAGAAGGCCTTGAAATGCCCTTTGTAATGGCTTGGTGCTTTCTCCCGACAGTTCCCTTCCCTTCCTAACTCCGAGAGTAGAAGGCCAGAAACCTTGATTTCATATCTCCATTTGACACTTCAATTAGTTCCTTTTGTGGCTTCAAACATAAAAATAAGTGATGAATAAAGTAATGTATACAAATATTGCTTTCAGTTTGCTGGAGCTCCCAGTTTGGGAACCTCCGGCCTTAATTGAGAGAGGGACATTTACCAAAGGAATAAGACATTGTAAATGTTCTATAGAAACAAATTATAATTTTGTTGGCATTCCTTTTGCAGATGAAGAGGAGGAGGAAGATACACCAGCTGTAGATCCTTTTGATTTGTTTGAACCCGTCGATATCCTTTCCAAGCTTCCAAAAGATTTCTATGAAAAGGTTAGTTGCAGGTATTTTGTGTAATAAGTTTTTACTTGTATGCTTGTCTGTGTCCACGGGAAGCTGTGTCTGGCTGTTGGACCTCGTGTAGCTCCTAATACAGTACCTCATTTTTAAACACCTTGAAGTTATTGTTCACTATTGTACTTGATTTTGAAACTATGAATTGAGGCCATATATATTAAGTATCAGAACATTGCAGCTCTTTGCCACCCCCATGCATGGTAGCATGGAAGTGTCAAGTCTGTCGAGACATTTGTTTCTTACATCCATCTATGTCTCTTCATTTTATTCCTTATTCTCTACACTGTCATAAAGTGTTTACAGTGCTTCCTGATTACAGTTGTTGCTTGTAATTGTATTTTTTTATTTTTAATCTTTTATTATATTTTAAACATGCACTGTATACAGCTTATGTATTTAGATCTATTACAAATATGTATGCTTGTTTAAAATTAACAGAGCTTTCAAATGGTTGTTAATTAATACAAAAAATTTGTTTTAGGTTGAAGCCAAAAAATGGCAGGATCGTAAAGAAGCAATGGAGGCGCTGCAACCTCTCACACAGAACCCAAAACTGGAGCAGGGTGATTACCATGATCTTATGAAGGCTCTAAGAAAAGTAAGTACAGCATAGTGCTTACTTATCAGTGACAATGGGGGACTGAGATCTAACTCTTCATGCCGTGAATTCTAGCCATTTGTACTTGGCGTGTTAATTACCCGTCCTAACATTAACGTTTAATGTTGTGGATGGAATTTGCTACAACACCCTCTTCAATATAGGCATTCCACTTGCCTACCACCCCTCAAGGGAATGAGAACTTCCTTGCATCTCTTTGACTCATTTGCACGTCCAGCTTCCACCAATGTTCCCTTGTCCTACCTTGTTTTAATTTAAATATGCTTCCTTTATCCACTTTTATCTATTCCCTTGATCTTGTAAGTAGTTTTCATATCTTCTCTCTGAGGTTGTGAAGCTGAGCTCTCAACCTGTCTTCACAACTGAGGCTTCTTAATTCTGATAAGAATCTAGTTGCAAACCTCTGAACTTTCTCAAATTTCTGTTCATGCTTCACAAGATATAGTGTTACGAACTTATTCGTTACTGGGTTCTTTTGATGCTCATTTTATTTTTTTTTGGTTTGTTTTCCTGCTGATCCTCCCCAAGCCCTTAGACAAGTAACCCCAGTGAAGACACAGTAACACATCTATGGTAAAGTGTTAAAAAAAAAAATAAAATCTGATTATTATTAAGTATTAAAACTATATAAATGTTAATCTGGAAACCAAATACTGAAAATGTTTGAACAGAATGTGAGGATGGAACCCACACTAAGGATGTCACAGTTGACCGACTCGCTGCTTGACCTCATGTTGCCGTTCACTGGTTCCTCACATCAACTCTTGTCCTTGCAGAGCAACAGACTAGAATGATCAAAACATTGTCAATAAGAGTGTACACTTTACCCAACATGATGCACACAACCTAGATGGGACTGAAATGGGATTGGTCCCAAACCTTAGATGGAGGTGGTGTTTGTCACACATGGGTTCCATGTTGGACCTGCGTACTCAAGTAGTGGCCTCACATAGGCAGTGTATGGGTTTGAAAGCTTTGTTTAGACTCTTAAATGCTGTTCTTATATTTAAAAACTTCCCATGTACTACTGATGTTAACTGTTCACATGAACTTCTGGTGTTAGTGTTGGGATTATATCTATTTCCAGATCTTTCTATTTAATTGTTTCTTGTGAATTCCTTTCCCTTATGGTATAGTTAAATATGGGTTTCCTGTCTCTTACCAATTTGTATTACTTTGCATTTAATTATATTGAATTCCAGCATCCAATTACTTGCTACCTCATGAAGTTTGTTAGGATCTTCTTACAGCTTAATAAAGGTACATTCGTCCTCAGTTTTTACTCGCCTCATTAATGTTGCATCATCTGCCAACATCGACATGTACAAGCTCACTCCCTCTGTACGGGAGTGTGTATACAGGAGTGTATGTTGCATATACTGTATTAGAAAGAGCAATAGTCCTAGGACAGCCCTGTGCCGCACCACTTTCTACTCCTCTCCAGCCTGACATATCCTCTCTGACAATGACCCTTTATTTTCCGTCCATTAAGTACTCCCGTACCCAATCCAGTGTCTTGTGTATTAACCCCACATGTCTCGCCATCTTGTGTCTGTCTTTTGTGAGTAACTTTATTAAAAGTTTGTTTTGCAGTCTAGGCAGATACAGTCTACCCATCCTTCTCATGTCTTATTTTTGTGACCCTCTCATAGAATTCAGTCAGGTTTGTTAAGCATAATTTTTTATCTCTGAAGCTATGTTGTGCCTCTTATAAACTTTACTTTCCAAATGTTCTTCAATCCTTTTCCTGATGCCTTCTAGGATCTTGCATAGAATGCATAACACTAGTGTAGGGGCCTCGTAGCCTGGTGGATAGCGCGCAGGACTCGTAATTCTGTGGCGCGGGTTCGATTCCCGCACGAGGCAGAAACAAATGGGCAAAGTTTCTTTCACCCTGAATGCCCCTGTTACCTAGCAGTAAATAGGTACCTGGGAGTTAGTCAGCTGTCACGGGCTGCTTCCTGGGGTGTGTGTGTGTGGTGTGAAAAAAAAAAAAAAGTTAGTGTAGTTAGTAAACAGTTGATTGACAGTTGAGAGGCGGGCCGAAAGAGCGAAGCTCAACCCCCTCAAACACAACTAGGTGAATACAACTAGGTGGGTGAATACTAGTCTATAGTTTAGTGCTTCATATGTCGCTCTTTTTGAATACTGGAACTGCATTTCCATGGTAACTCTCCCATCTTTAGTATATAGTATATCAGACATGATCATGAACTCCTCTCTTCAATTAAAAGTTCCAATTTTTGCTTTACATGTCCAGATTTGTTTTAAATATAGGTATTTCTTTGCCTGCTAGAGTATAATATTCAGGTTAAAGCAATTAGATTAATAAGGGCATGTGAAATAACATTAAAGTTACTGTGATCTATTGATCACAGTATCTATGATCTGTGATCAATGTGATAGTTTGAAAGGCTTTTTTTTTCTTTTATCTACAAAACAGATCAGATAGAATTCTTTATCTTAGCAGTTGAAATTGTTTGCTTTTATAAAGGAAACAAGTAAAGACAAATTTAGTTGGACGAGGCAGAAACAAATGGGCAAAGTTTCTTTCACCCTGAATGCCCCTGTTACCTAGCAGTAAATAGGTACCTGGAAGTTAGTCAGCTGTCATGGGCTGCTTCCTGGGGGTGGAGGCCTGGTCGAGGACCGGGCCGCGGGGACACTAAAAAAGCCCCGAAATCATCTCAAGATAACCTCATTATAGGCAAGGTACACACAAATATTTGGCTGTGATTTGGTTTAGGATTTAAAGATTAAATCATAGTGTTGTATTAAACACACATTCCTTTGCTCCTCAGATCATTAGCAAGGACACGAACGTAATGATAGTGGCACAGGCAGGCTTGTGTGTGGCAGGGCTGGCTAACGGATTGAAAAAGAAATTCCAAATATTTTCCCTCTCATTCACGGAGACCATCTTGGAGAAGTTCAAGGAGAAGAAGGTTAATGTGGTTTCTGCCATGCGTGAAGCCATTGATGCTGTGTACCAGACGGTGAGGATTTGTTGTTCATTGTATTTGTATTAATATTACCTTAACTTTTTAAGTTAGTATTAAATGATTTTTTTTTTTTAATAATCTTTGGGCTGTGCACCTGTTACAAGCTGACTGGGGGATGGGGAAGGGGAGGAATTTTTTGACTGATTTTGGCCATGATAAAGCAGGCAAGTCTCGCGGTTCACGAGAATTTGAGTCTTTGTCCCGAAACGGTTGCCCCGGGCCAGGCATGGGGAGGGTGGGTTGCATTAAAGATATTTTTTAGATATTTGTTTCCCTATCTGATTGTTTTTTTTCCAGTAATATTCAATTATGTGTCATTTCAGAAATTGATATAATAAAATGTGGGAATATCAGAATGCTCAAATGTTGTAAATAATATGCATACACTATTATATTCTTAGAACAATAAAACATACTGTTTTTACTACTACTGTATATATACATCATATACAACTGCTGTATCTACATTTTTGTGCACTATTACGAGCTACTACACAGTTCTGGTGGGTGTAATAATCTTGTAACCAGTTGTCAGAGTTCAGTCTAGCTACGCCTGTTGTTTTGGCATGTAATTGTAACTGCACACATTGAATGTATTATATATCCTTTATATTTCTAATGCCTTTGCCATTGTTTTTTCAAGTGCAATGATGGATTGGGCTGTCAATAATGCTATTTGTATCACAGAACATGTAGAACATAGATATGCAGATATGTGTGTGTAAATCACGAAAAATAAACATGTGATTAAACAGTGGTCTGACACTGTTATGCAGATATATATTTGTCACTAATCATTGTGCAATATTATATTCTTTCAACAATCGGCTATACAAATTTTGCTATTATTACACTATATTGCACACATCATGTATAACTATCTACCCTTTTTATGCACCATAATGAACCATTAAGAAGTTCTGGTGGGTATAGTAATGACCAAGGACAGCATAGAGCCACATGCTACCAGCAGACAGTGCCATCTGATGCAGCAAAAGTACCTCCAATAGTGTCAACTGTAACTACAACAATGTTATTAGTATCAGATTACTGCCACTAAATCATGAATGTGAACAAATCCACAAGGGCCGTGACGAGGATTCGAACCTGCGTCCGGGAGCATCCCAGACACTGCCTTAATTGACTGAGCTACGACAGGGTAAAAGAGTTGAAACCGAAGTTCTACTGAACTTACTGTAGTGTAGTCACGAATGTGAATTATTTTCCACACAATATATTTTCTAAAGGAACATGCGGTCGTGTTACACGATGCGCAGACAGACGAAACCTGTGCTGCAAATGCCTGCCTCCCATTGTGAACATCATGACCAGCACTGTGTTTGCTGATATCTGAACCTTGTATATTGTCTTTATCACAGTTAGGATCTTCTTCTTATTGCAAAATAATCAGTTAGTTATTTCCTCGTTAAGTGATGCTTTGGTCACGAGCTGCATTGCGGTGCCATTTAATTATGAGGCCCTCACACCCAAAACATGTGCCTGTGATTATTTTTTGAAGATAACGTCTGTTTACTGGAGTCCTGAGGAAGCAAATGTGAGCCCTGTGTATGAGTGGTACTTTAAATCTTACGCAGTAGTCTAAATCCCCCCCCCAACCCCCGTAGACCCTTACAGTTTGGTCACATATGTCGCAAATCATCCCTGTACGACTTGCACAGCCCTAAGTACTAATTTGTGATGAATGTACTTGTGATACAGAGCACCACTTGGTTTCCGAACTTTAGTTATCCGAAACTTCCAGTTTCCCGATTGGGGTTGGGGAGTCATGCTGATTGGGGTTGGGGAGTCATGCTACCCGAACAAAGTTCGGGTAGGAAGGGGTCCGCCAAGCGTCACGCCGGCTTGTTGTGGTGGGTGGGAGATGGTCCAGTTTGCCCACTGTGACTTCACAGATTCACGGCCTATTATTCCTATTATTTTGAATTGCCATAAGGCTGGAATGTTCATTCTGTGCTTTTGTTTTACATATCTGCACAATCAAGAAACATCTGTGCACCATGTTGGCTCCAAATGCACGCATTGCATCAGTGATGGCCGACTGGTGGGTGGATGAACGATGCAACTTAGGTGGGAGGCAGTATGAATGAGGAGGGGGGGAGAATCAGTGACAGAGGGGGAGAGAGAGATGCTAGGAGGGAGGGGGAGGTAGGGAGAGATGTTAGGAGGTAGGGAGAGATGCTAGGAGGTAGGCAGGAAGGGATGGAAGTAGTGAGAATTAGGGAGGGAAAGGCAGGCTGGCAGGCACAGGCAGGCAGGCACAGGCAGGCAGGCACAGGCAGGCAGGCAGGCAGGCACAGGCAGGCAGGCAGGCAGGCACAGGCAGGCACAGGCATGCAGGCAGGCAGGCAGGCAGGCAGGCAGGCGCAGCAGGGAGTGAGTGGTAGTCACGCGGTGACCTTGAGAGATGGGATGTAGGGGGGCGGGTGGTTTGTTGGTGGTGGGGGTGAGACCGGCTCATTCCCGAAGATAAGCCTAACACACACTACCCGTTAGCATGATGGCAGGGAGGGAGGCAGGCTGGCTGGAAAGGAAGCAGGCTGGGAAGGAGGCAGGCAGGCAGGCAGGCTTGCAGGCTGGGAAGGAGGCAGGCAGGCAGGCAGGCTTGCAGGCTGGGAAGGAGGCAGGCAGGCAGGCAGGCTTGCAGGCTGGGAAGGAGGCAGGCAGGCAGGCAGGCAGGCTTGCAGGCTGGGAAGGAGGCAGGCAGGCAGGCAGGCTTGCAGGCTGGGAAGGAGGCAGGCAGGCTTGCAGGCTGGGAAGGAGGCAGGCAGGCAGGCAGGCTTGCAGGCTGGGAAGGAGGCAGGCAGGCAGGCAGGCTTGCAGGCTGGGAAGGAGGCAGGCAGGCAGGCAGGCTTGCAGGCTGGGAAGGAGGCAGGCAGGCAGGCTTGCAGGCTGGGAAGGAGGCAGGCAGGCTTGCAGGCTGGGAAGGAGGCAAGCAGGCAGGCAGGCTTGCAGGCTGGGAAGGAGGCAAGCAGGCAGGCAGGCTTGCAGGCTGGGAAGGAGGCAGGCAGGCAGGCAGGCTTGCAGGCTGGGAAGGAGGCAGGCAGGCAGGCAGGCTTGCAGGCTGGGAAGGAGGCAGGCAGGCAGGCAGGCTTGCAGGCTGGGAAGGAGGCAGGCAGGCAGGCAGGCTTGCAGGCTGGGATGGAGGCAGGCAGGCAGGCAGGCTTGCAGGCTGGGAAGGAGGCAGGCAGGCAGGCAGGCTTGCAGGCTGGGAAGGAGGCAGGCAGGCAGGGATGCTTGCAGGCTGGGAAGGAGGCAGGCAGGCAGGCAGGTTTGCAGGCTGGGAAGGAGGCAGGCAGGCAGGCAGGCAGGCTTGCAGGCTGGGAAGGAGGCAGGCAGGCTTGCAGGCAGGCAGGCAGGCAGGCAGGCAGGCAGGCTTGCAGGCTGGGAAGGAGGCAGGCAGGCAGGCAGGCAGGCTTGCAGGCTGGGAAGGAGGCAGGCAGGCAGGCAGGCTTGCAGGCTGGGAAGGAGGCAGGCAGGCAGGCAGGCTTGCAGGCTGGGAAGGAGGCAGGCAGGCAGGCAGGTTTGCAGGCTGGGAAGGAGGCAGGCAGGCAGGCAGGCAGGCTTGCAGGCTGGGAAGGAGGCAGGCAGGCAGGAAGCGATATATGGGTGTTGAAGTGAACCATGAACCACGTGACCTTTGAGTGTGTGTGTGTGTGTGTGTATGGGTTTGGGGTGGGGGGAGAGGGGGAGGTGTATCGGTGGTGGGGGAGGGACCGGCTGACTCCGTAAGCCTAACCACACTCCACAGACCTGTGACCCAGATTTGTTTCTTAAATGTACAGTACAGCATCGTATATTTTAGGCAGGATGTGCCTGCAGGCTGGCAGGAAACATCCAGAGGATGTTTGCCAGACGTCTTAATAATCAGTTAGGAACAATTAAGGACTTTTATAAAGCGGATCAGGACTTCACTTATTGGTGAGTACAAACAAAACACAGTCGCATTTACGCTATGAACCTGTCGATTTTTTCCCCTAGAGTTTTTTTCGTGAATTTTTTCGGAAAAATTTATTTTTACATTTCTAGTTTATTTTTTCCCCTCTATTTCTCGTATACGAACTTACATGTTAACCGACGGGTCTCGTCCCCAAGGGGTTCGGAAACCAAGTGGTGCTCTGTATAATTTATTGGCATAACTGGTTAAGTTGTGAAGTATTTCTGTATGGGGTATGTCTGTATTTCTGTCTTAAGTTGCCAATTTAGATATGGTTAAATAATAATTATGGTGCCATTTTACATATTGCACTGAAGACTAGTTTTTACTGAATTGTACAAGACTTCTATTTCACTGTTTACATGTAATTTGGTTGCTTATGTGAATTATCTTATTGCTGCAAATTAAAGGCATTGGAAATGCTGTGTTGTTTAACCTTTGCAGACCACCTTAGAGGCAATACAAGAAACAGTGAGTGCAGCGCTGGCTAACAAAAATCCACAAGTGAAAGCAGAGACGACAGCTTTCTTGGCCAGAGCCTTGTGTTATTGCACCCCGGTGATTCTCAACAAAAAACTGGTGAAAGCCATCACCACAGACCTCTTGAGAGGCTTGAATGAATCAGGTAAGATGGATTGTGTTACTCCTGCCTGCGCGTGTTGTTGAACAATTTGTGTATAGTAACAATTATTTCTAGCGGCTCAAATTTTCTTTAGTACATTGCATTGTCTTCAGCAATTGCTTGTAAAAGTCCAGGAAATGCTTTATATATTTGCATTAAATTTTACTTACTGTATTTAGTTCTTTTCATTTATTCTGGTGTCTTATACTCTAAATTTTCATCTTTCAGATCCTACTGTTCGTGATAACTCGTGTGAGGCTCTGGGTGTGATATTGAAAGTGATTGGAGAGAAACAAATAATGCCATTCATCGCTGATGTTGACAACTTGAAAATGCAAAAGGTATCTGTTTGTCGTACTTGGAAAATTTCAAGAGTAGCCTGTATCTGTTGAGTCATTCCAATCATGTATTTTTATTTTTGTCTGATTCATTTGCATTTCTAAATTTCCTCTTGGTCCTCTTGTTTTTTTATCCCTCATTAAGAAAGTGCTGTTCAAGTGAAGAACAACACTTGAACTTTATAAGAGAATATGGATTCTCTTATTAGAAATACACTACTTACCTGTACTGGCAAGTGAATTCTAGCTCTTGGGCTCCATCTCTTAGCTCATGTTACTTGTAGATCACCTGTAATAGTCTTATTTGCCAGTTATTTTTGCCAAAAGTATATTGTGGAATTGTGTGAGGTAGTTTCTTTTATTGCATATACAAAGTATAAGTAGATGGATGGTAATGCAAATAGACCATTAAGTGATAAATGTGGCCAAAGACATAATGTTTCTGACAATCCTTTTTTCCTCAAAAAAGTCGTACGGTACTATGCTCTAATTTATAAGTACTGTAATTTAATCCGTAGATAAGAGAGTCGTCAGAAAAGGCCGAGATAAAGGTGAAGATATCGGTACCAAAGGCCAAAAAACCAGCAGCAGCCAAGAAAGAAGCCCCCAAGCAAGCTGGTGCAGAGGGTGGAGGTCCTGGAGCAAGCAAGGTTGTGCGGGGAGGAGGAAAGCGTGCACCATCAGCAGACACAGCCAAGGGAAAGAAATGTGAGTTCAGAGGAACATTAGTTCCTGTACCTCATTAAGTCTGGAGAGAAGTTCACACACACTTTAATGCTAAGCTTTTGTTTTTGCATCAATAGTTTTATTACAATTTTACTGCAATGCAAACAATAATATTAGGTTAAACAGTAATTTTTTTTTTATTGATCTGTAATTAGTTCTACAAGGGCATGTACCCTTGTAGAAATATGTTATACATTTCACTGAATTAATATCTTCCTCAGTGTCAATGTTGTATGACATCTGGAGAATACATAGGTTTATTGGCTTGAAATTTTAAAGTGTTATGATGATACAAGGAAGATTCCTTGTATCATCATACCGCAGCTTTATAAGCCCAATAGGGACAGATTTTAAAACTTGTGTGTGAACCATTTAGGAGATGGAGTTGGGGATCTTGATCAATAATTAGGAAATGAATGTTGTTGATGGAGAATTCTATATGCATACTCTAATGCTAGGAAATTACTATTTGTTTTACTTGTCTAATTAAGAATGGTTAGGAATGAGAGGAAGTATTTGGGAAAATATCAAGAACAATTGATAATCAAGAGGTGGTGAATTTGATGGGCATGTACTGTGTGTGTGTGATGAATGTGAGAGATGAGAGTAAAGAATGTGGAAAGATCAATTAAATTTTAAAAATAGTTAATGAGGTGTGTACTTGCTTGAAAATGTAATAAAATCGTCTGAAAGCAGTTAAGTATTTTGAAATATAATAGTAATTAAAAGACTTGGTACAATTGCAAATAGAAATGTTTTACAATGTACATGGGGAATGTTAACAGGTGAGGAAGAAATGTGAAATAGATGGAGAGAGTTACATACTTAGAATGCCTGATGGATGGAATTTTTGAAAGATATGGTAATGTGAATGACTGGGGAGCTGGCACTTGGGGAGCCAGTCGGCCAAGCGGACAGCACATTGGACTTGTGATCCTGTGGTCCCGGGTTTAATCCCGGGTGCCGGCGAGAAACAATGGGCAGAGTTTCTTTCACCCTATGCCCCTGTTACCTAGCAGTAAAATAAGTACCTGGGTGTTAGTCAGCTGTCACGGGCTGCTTCCTGGGGATGGAGGCCTGGTCGAGGACCGGGCCGTGGGGACACTAAAGCTCCGAAATCATCTCATGATAACCTCAAGATAACTGGTTTCACTGGTGAAAAGAATTATCAGGGAAAAGTCCCAAGCCATTATGACTACAGTATAGCACTTGGAAGGGATCAGGATAAGTGATTTGGGATGGGACAGGGGGGGGGGGGGAAGGAATGGTGCCCAACCACTTGGACAGTCGGGGATTGAACACCGACCTGCATGAAGCGAGACCGTTACTCTAACATCCAGCCCAAGTAGTTGGAAAATCTGGTTGGACAGGTTTCACTGGTAAACGAATATAGCATGTCGGTAGTTATTTCCCTGGAAGAGATAAAACATTAGTGAAGATAATTATATATGCACCAGAACCATAAATGAAATGGGGGGTGAAAAACTAACCTGAAAGCAATGCATTTCTACCCGAAAATAAGAAATGGTTTAGATTTTTTTTTTTACTACATACAGTATTTAGCTTGTAAATACTTGATGATTTAGGTAGTGATGCTTGATGAACAGTATTATTTGTATATTATTGATTTAATTTCTTTCCTAAATATATTTGTTTCATAGTCCTTACTTGGAATATTTTTTTTATCAGCTACTGCTGGAAAGGGCACTAAAGGAGGAGGGGGAGGTGGCGGAATTAGAGGAGGATCTGTCGAGGAGTGTAAAGAAGCAGAAATCTCGATAGAAGAAGCCTTGGAGAAAGCTGGTGAAGTCCTTCCTGAAGATGTCATGAGTGGAATCACAGATGCTAATTGGAAGACGAGATTATCTGCTGTGGAGTCCTTCATTGAGGTAAACATTGAAAATGTAGGCAGGAAAAAGCATATGCTTTTAAGATAAGCCGAGCAACTTACACGCTATCATCAGATATATTCATTTGGGATAATATTCGTCATTAGTGATGCAAGTTTTCACAAGAGTAGTGGTAACAGATAATGGCTGGTTGCAGAACCCGTAAGTTATTATTTAAAGTTTTTGAAAATGATCAGTTAAAGTGCTACAGTTCTGAAAGGAAACTTGAGGTAAAATTGGTATATTAACTGCATATGCTGGAATGTCGAAAATATTAATTATTTATATTTTTATACCTAGAGTGTTTATTTCCTGGATGTTATTCATTATTTTGTGATTAGAAACTCTTTCCATATATATATATATAGATAATTAGTGTATGAAACATCAGTGCAGTGCTAGTGTTTTTAATTCTTCTAATTTCATACAATAACTTGAACATCTTTAGCTTTAGAGAATATTAAGCTATGCCCAAAGACTGGTTACCTTGTGTATGATATACAAGGCTATGATTTAGTTGTATCTACCTGTAGCTAGAGAGTGTGCATCAATTCTATAAAATACGATAATTTTAAATTTGTAAATGACATATTCAGGGCCATAGGCTGAATTAGTTGGAGAATTATATTTTTGCAGCTGATCACAAACGAAGATGTCATTTAACTTAATTATTCAAAAAGAATAATATTCTGTTAAAGTAATGATACACTATCATTCAGAATTTACCAGCTATCAGTCTATTTTTGTAATTTTCCAGTTAGCATAATGATAAAGTTTTTATTCTGCAGATTGTGAAGCTTAATGTGAAAATATCTTTAATTTAACTTAAATTTTGTATTAGCCTGTAGACATACAAGTGAGAAACTTTTGAGAGTTGAAGGTATGCTGTGCTTGCATAGCATACAGCCATATGGCTGGTAGCCAATGCTAATGCAGTTTGGAGGTCATTACAACTTTATAAAAGTGACAGTTTATTCAGATTAACAGCTGTAAGAACGTTGGTTCATGCAGCTTTTATACAAATGGCCAATGTGCAATTTAAAGACTCGCCAAGGGAGGTATGAATTTTGTTGTGAAACCCCCCAATTTTTATGACATTTTGGTACTTCGCACTCGCATCAGCTTTGTAATTGCTCAATAAACTTCTTTGTATATATAATACTCCTACTGTTTCAGACAACAAAGATGATGGACCGCAGTGAAATTCCAACTCAGGCATTAGTGAGAACCCTGGCCCAAAAACCTGGCTTGAAAGACAACAATTTCCAAGTTCTTAAATTAAAACTTGAAGCCCTCAAATATCTTGCTGAAAATTCAGATTTTACCAGGTATAGTGATTACTTACTTGACTTTTATGCACCTCTTTAGTGTAGTTTTTGTTAATGTATTTGTAGAGTATTGGCAAATGTATATGGGTCTTGTAACTTCAGGTAAATGTTCAACCTGTGTAGGGTGTCTGGAATATAACATCTTAAAATAACCCTGAAATAATTGTTCTGGGTTGTTTGTAATGTGACATTTTCAAGAGAAAACTAGACTGTTTTCTCCAAGGAGTGCCGGACCAACCGGGCTGTGGTGGGTATGTGGGCCTGCGGGCCGCTCCAAGCAACAGCCTGGTGGACCAAACTCTCACACGTCAAGCCTGGCCTCAAGCCGGGCTTGGGGAGTAGAACAACTCCCAGAACCCCATCAATCAGGTATAAGTTGTTTATCAGGAACAGGGTTGATTCTAATTTCTTGGGGCAAAGAATTTGATATTCACATGGTCACTTCCTTTTGATTAAATAATCTAAATATTACAAAGTGGAGATTATCAGGTTTTCTAATGTGATGTAATTAACTCTTGTAAATTTCTTTCTGGGGTTTTGCCAGATAGGCAACTGCAGGAATGTGTCCATGTTAATGGTGATTCAGTGTGAGAAACATTTGGTGTTTTGTTACATATAGCCCATAAGACGTAAAGGTTATGATAGGATAAGGAGCGTAAAAGTTGGTAAATCATAAAGTAGAGGAGTGTGTACCAAGATACTTTGGCTATGTTTGAATGAATGGATGATGGGCAAAATGTGTTTTGAGTACTTTTCAGGATAGGAAGAGTATTGGAAAGCTATGAAGATGATAGGCAACATGAATGTTGAAGAGGATGTACTCTCCTAGTTGTCACACTCACTACATTGTTACATGTGGGGATTGAATGGTGCAGTGAGTTGGGTACAGTGAGAAACAAGGACAAGTGACAGCAGTTTGTGAAGATTATGGGTCATTCCATGCCAAATCATCACAGCTCCTAACTCGACCATCTCAAATTTTCATGAAATTTGGTAGGATGATAGAGGATATGAAGCATCATATGTATTCAATGTTTCTTGATATTCACACAACAGGGTTGTATACTGTACTGCAATAATTTGTATCTGGAGCAGAGATCTGCTCCAGATAAAGCAGAGACAATGTATCATATTGTGATACATTGGATATTCAAATAGCTTAGGTTTATCATGTAATCATATTTTGTTACGATCTTTACAGACGATCAGGAGAAGCGTGCATTCAAGATCTGGTGGAGAAATTGGGAGACCCCAAGAATGGTCCATTATGCGGAGAGGTTCTTACTGCTGTAGCCGAGGCAGCAAAGTTACAGTGGGTGGGCCCAGAAGTCATGACCAAAGCATTTGAACAGAAGAGTCCTAAGGTTCAAGAAGTTGCTGTCAAATGGCTCTCGGATGCAATCACAGAGTTTGGTTTTGTGTAAGTTGTCTTCTTTGTTACTTTGGTTTTGTGTTCCTGTTGGAGGATACATCCCTGTTTTATCCTATTCTGTATGCCCTTTTATATTAAGACTTGTTGTCTTGAATTTGCATTGTTTTAACGTAGTGTTTTCTAATCAAATTGCATGGGTCAGCTTCCTGGGGGTTGGCATAAATGATTTCTATCTAATGTGTCGAACCTGGCTCCAGGCCGGGCTCGGGGAGTAGTAGAACTCCCGAAACCCTCTGCAGGTATGCTCCAGGTATGTCGAGTAAAGTCCTTCATCAGTTTTTACCAAGCCTACTACTTGTGCTGCATGATTTTTAGTAAGTATGCATAGTAATCTTAGTTGAAATTATAGTTTGAGATATTATTTTTTATTTTGCCAATGTTTGTAACAATTATTACCTTTTGCAGCTTTTCCACCCTAAATGCGGAACAAAATTACTGTACTTTAAATTTGGCATAGTTAGGTCTTGGAGTTATAAAATAGACTGTGGAAGTTTTGAGCTTTGTAACTTCACTAGGGGACAATTTTGAGGAATTAAATTTACTTTATTTAAAGGAGGCATGTACTTAAAATTTTGTACAAATATCTAGAATAACACTGTTTATATTGACATTGAGTAGTGCAGGCGATGAGTCACAATAATGTGGCTAAAGTATGTCGACCAGACCACACACTAGAATGTGAAGGGACGACGACGTTTGAGTCCGTCTTGGACCATTCTCAAGTCGAAACCGAAACGTCGTCGTCCCTTCACCTTCTAGTGTGTGGTCTGGTCAACCTCAAGTAGTTTTTTGTATTGTCATTACAGTACAAGGCAAGGATACCATCCTCAGTTCCTCAGTGATGAATTTAATACTTACATTGTGTTTACACATCTTTATCATAACATTGTAATGCCAAAATTTCCTGCTGTGCTTGCAAATAGATTTGGCACATGGATCTTGGAATATTTATTCTATTAAACATCCCTTTTATGATTTTCTAAAGCAGGCTTCTTTAAGATAACAGTTCTAATTAGTTGATTACTTATTACCATGCCCTTTGATTTATTTTTCAGTTATAGTGATACATGTTTTTCTTATCATAGGTTACAGCCAAAGGCCATTATTAGTGATATCAAGAAAGCTCTGGCACATACCAACCCTGGTGTGAGAACTGCCGGCATCTCACTCTGTGGCACCATCTACCTCTACATGGGCGCCACACTTCGAGTCTTCTTCGACGACGAGAAAGCTGCTCTGCTTCAGCAAATCGACACAGAATTTGAAAGGGTGAGTTATACGTAGGCAGAGAATGTCTCAATAGTTTTGGCTGAAAAACAGCCCAACATATACATAAAGAGAAAGAGCTGTGACATCATTTTGGGTCATCTTGGGCCCTTTTATAGTAAAGGGTTTGACTTCATAAGGGTCCAGCATAAACCAAAATACCACCACTTTCCTATCTTTTCAAGTGTGGCGGTTGGGTTATTTATCAGTTAAACATAAATTGGTGGAATGCAACATTTTATCATGTATAATGGGCTATCTTTGGAACTTCTGTATATAATGGAAGTATGTGATGTATAGATGAAAGTTTTGTGCTCATCCTGATTAATTTCTTTAACATGGCTGTTCCTAATACATAAAAATTGACCTACTTATTGGCTAACACCACCCCAGCCAAGATATCCAGATATGTATCCAGATAGATATATATATAAAATATCCAGCCAAGTGAAGATATACTTGTCTCATTTGTAGTGCAGATGGGAATCCAGGCCAGGATTCCACCCAGGAAGCATGAAAATCCAAGCAAAAAGTCTACCTCTTGTAGTTTAGCTGTAGTAGCCTTGGTTTTTTATAATAATAATATTGATGATAATAGTAATAATAATGAGGCGAGTTGCCTCATGGAAATAACTGTCAATTTATTTTCACTGTACTGTTTATCACTATTTTTTTTGTTCTAACAAGTTGTATATGTGTCAAAGATTGTTCATTATGTATAACTGAAAATATTCACATGTATACAAATATGTAAATAAATATATGCTCACCGTATATTTATTCATACTAATATATAGATATAAGCCTTTATACAAGTCTAAATCTTATAATTGGGCATAGCACACATTTTGTTACAACAATATAAATATATAATCACTCAGTGTTAAAATTTCAGTGGCTCATAGTATGGCTGCCCTACACAGTCCTAAAGCCATGGCTTTGGAAACGTTGCTTAGGCCTTGGTAACCTAGGCTACGTTACTAAGGCCATGGAAGGAAAGGGAGGAACGTGGGATGTTTTTTCAAGATGGGGGTTGGTTACTGGAGGTCTTAGGAAGCAAATGCGAGCCCCCCTAGGAGCCGAGTCTAGGAGGCCTGGTCGAGGACCGAGCCGCGGGGACGCTAAGCCCCGAAATTATCTCAAGAAGATAACCCCCTTGTATGCATGGGAGTTTAGAATCTTATGAAGCTGGTCGGCCGAGCGGACAGCGCACTGGACTAGTGATCCTGTGGTCCCGGGTTCGATCCCGGGCGCCGGCGAGAAACAACGGGCAGAGTTTCTTTCACCCTATGCCCCTGTTAACTAGCAGTAAAATAGGTACCTGGGTGTTAGCCAGCTGTCACAGGCTGCTTCCTGGGGGTGGATGCCTGGTCGAGGACCGGGCCGCGGGGACACCAAGGCCCCGAAATCATCTCAAGATAACCGAGACCACCACCACCACATGTTGGCTGGTGCACCACTTTATTGAGCTGCCGTGGTTTTGAGAGTAAGCAAGGTACAAGCAGCAACAGCTTAGTTGATTAAATTGTTTCCTGTGGTGTCTGGACCTGCCCAAAGTTTTTGGAGAATATTCCTCATCCTGGAGGGGATGTTCGCACACAACAATCGGATATTTCAAATGTGTTTTAAGTTTTAAACTGACTCGATAAGAAGAATCAAAAACATTTGCCAACATTTCTACAAGATGGTTTGGGTGTAGGACAAAGTACTGCCCTTTCTTACACTGGGATATAAATGTGCAAGTATATGCAGTTGCAAAGATGTGAGTAGAGGCATAGAATCACAAACATAAAGCTAGGAACCATTGTGAATGGCCTGTTGGCCTGTACCAGTTGGGTCTCATTTAAATCCGCTGCAATTGTCCTTTACCCACATCCAGTCGAAACCTGTTATACTATTTGTCTCAATGATCATAGCTGGTAGCCCATTCCACTCGTCCACAAGCATATTCCCATGCCAGTACTTTCCTATAATTCTCTTAAAACAAGATTTCTGTAGCATGTTCCCATTTTTGTGTGTGATGATTTTGGAAGCCTGTTAATATTCCCCCCTTTGGTTTTGTCCCCGATTTACTTTACATTTGTGTGGATCATGTTCTACCCTCTTGGGGTAATTGGGGCCCTACTGCTTTATTCATTTGGAACTTAATGAAAATATATTGCTTACTCATGAATTACAGTAAATTAGATGAAAATTTTAAGTCTTATGAAAGTCTAAATGATAACTGTGTACAGTTAACTTTTAGTACCACTCTGGAGCCCCTTTAGCTACTCAGTAAGGTGTGGCAAAGAAAAAGCTGTATTAGTTGTCATAATGAATAGCCAGCAATATAGAACAGAAGTTCACTATTTTGGTTCTGACATGATAGTATATCAATGGGCAAAGAGGCTTAGCTGGTCTATTAATTGAACAAATTAATTACTGTACTGTGTAATGATTCTGTACATTCATGTCTTAATCATTGAAAGTGCCTTCATATCTCTAAACTATCCCCCAAACTAGTTGTTTATTATAATGTACTGTATATACTTCTTCAGTTAAGTGGCTCGACTCCTCCTGCTCCGACCCGAGGCCTCAAGCGTGACAGCAGCACTGAGAATGATGGAGACGACGATGATGTAGACTCGGGACCAGCTACCATTAATGTCCAAGACTTGGTACCACGGACCAACATCAGCGAACAACTTACCTCCACTCTTTTCAGTGATTTAGCTGATAAGAATTGGAAGGTAAGAATTATATGTATCACTATCTTGTCTTACATGTGTGCCTAGCACTTAAAATTATAATTTTAACTCTGTATAATAAGTATAAACATTTCTCCATTAGATCTATGAATTATTTTCTATATTTATATTACTTGTATCTATAGTTGTCTAACTAGTGTGTGCATAAATGCATTTTCATATTTTAAATTTGACTTGCAGGTGAGAAATGAAGCATTACAAAAAATTTCCAATATAATATCTGAAGCCAAGTTTATCAAGGGAGATATCGGTGAATTGCCAACTGGACTTGCTGCTCGCATGAATGATATGAACAAGAACTTGGCCCTGGAAGCCTTACGCATAACGGCATCTCTTGCTGTAGCTTTAGGTCCTAACTGTAAACCTCACACAAGAAATATTGTTCCTGGTATGCTGACTGCTCTGGGGGATAGTAAGGTAAATAGTTTTCTTGTCATTAGTGCTAATTGATAGTAAGGTAAATAGTTTTCTTGTCATTAGTGCTAATTGAATTTTTTTTCAAAGTACTTAATTAGACTTAATTTTTCCTCTTTTGAGCTTGTACAAATATTGTCTAAAGTCAGTGCTGTGGCTGTGCTCGAGTGTCAAACACAGAGCATTGGCATGCGAGGGAAAATTTAACATTTTTCTGTTTAATGCTGTCAGATCTTTGTTTTGCACTAGTTTGTGTGCAGACTTCTATCATTGGCTCCAAGAAATAAAAGCCTAGCATAACATAAGAACTTGTTGAACAAATCGCACACTAGAAGATGAAAACACGACATTTCGATGTGTCCTGGACTACTATCAAGTAGATTGTGATGAGACGAGGGAGGCAAGGGCATAAGTAAGGCAAGAGAGAGGTGAGGTGGAGGAAACCTTAGAGGAAGGTAAGAGCAAGGTGTAAGGTACAGAAGGGATAGGTGAAATAATGGGTGTAAGGTGGTGATAATAGGAGTAAGGATGGGAATGTAAGAGAAAGAAAATGGAGAAAAAAGGAAGGGTAGACTTTTGTTAGGTCATGTTTGTTAGGAAGTTTAGAACATTTGAGAATGTACTGTGAAAGAGAAGTCGACAGCAATAAAGCCAGGACTAAGGTTCATTTGGGTAGATTGTGTATCAGAGCCAATTCAATAAGACAACGTCTGTGAAGAATAGAGACAGGAAAGATTATTTCAAAAAATCGATCAATGGGATGACCAGAATTCCTAACATGTCAGAAGAGAGCATTGTTTGTATTTGCCGACATAACACATCATTTGTGTTCATTAAGTCTGTCATTAAGTGTATGGCCAGTTCCCCAGAGTATTAGAGAGAAAAGCTTCCTCTTAAGGTTTCCTTCTCACCTCCCTTGCCTCCCTCGTCTCATCACAATCAACTTGATAATGGTCCAGGATGGACCGAGTGTCGTCTTTTCATCTTCTAGTGTGTGGTTTGGTCAACATTCTTCAGCCACACGTTATTGGGGTTGATCATCTGCATAAGAACTTGCTTTGAAATCTGTGTATCTAGTATGGTTATTTTTGGTATTACTTTATTAAGGAAGTACTCATTTTTTCTTTGCAGCAAAATATTCGGCAACAAGCCATGAGCACACTCAACTCTTGGGTTGAACAGGCAGGAGTGAAAGAAACCATCGATGGAGAGGTGTTTGCTGATGCTCTGAAGACTGGTTCACCTTTCTTGAAAGCCGAGCTCTTTCTCTGGATGGCAGAGAAACTGAAAGATGGTAAACATTTACAGTCTTCCTTTTGTAGTTCTGAACTATTTATACCATGTATAATTTATACAAGTGGCATATGTATACTTGTACAAGTGCTATATGTTCACACTGAACATCCAGAGATTACAATGAGCATGTTTCAGATCTTGTTCAATATATTAATGTTTCATGAATTTAGAAAGATTTTGTAACTGATTTATATAGTTCTTAACAGTTGTGGCTGGACTGAACAAGGATACAGCCAGAGAAACTTATACCTTACGATTAGGGGGCGAGACATTTAAATTCTAGATGTATACATAGAAGATAGGGAAGCAGTTCAGGAGACATAATAATGTCTTGTGAACTGCTTCCATATCTACTCCAGGCTGACTCTTCTGTACATAATAATAATAGGAAAATGATAACTAACTTTAAAATTTGATGTAAGCTCAATACAATATTGAACTTACTATTGATAATTTGTTTAAGCCTAAAATGAAAATTCCTACAAAATACAGTCTAATATTTGAATAGGTTTTACACTTGCATGAGCGGTTAGCAATACTAGGTTACATCATGACAGGACAAGTTTTAATTATCTTTTCATCATTTCACTTGTTTAAGTATAAAGTATATGTAAAGCAAAATTTAATCATGCTTGAAAAAAACTTTTTATTTGTCTTGCTATTCAAAACTAGCTCTAATGTAATGTATGATTGATTATTTCAGCTCCACCTAAAGGTATAAATAAAGAAGAATTGCATGCGTGCACCCAGTACCTGTTCATGGCTTTAGAGGACCGTAATGCTGATGTGAGAAAAGGGGCCAATGAGGCAGTGATGCCCTTCATGATTCATCTGGGCTTCGATGGTATGGTCAAACACACCAGCAAAGTAAAGGTATATCCATGTGTGAAAATGTTTGAAATAATTTTGTGACGTTTTATTAGTGGTTTTGATCGAGTTATTCAAAGGTATCTTGTATCAGAATTACTTAAAATGAAGGATCCATGCTAAATTATTTGAATTAAAACTAGCAGCTTCATGTATGTGGTGAGAGATGGTAGAAATGAAAAGCGAACGTTTTGAGAAATTCATTAAACTCGAACTAAAATCTTTTTCTCGCCAGTAAATTATGAAAAGCTGTTAATGCATTTATTGGAATTTGATCCTTGTTTTATATCTTCATGATGCACTTAACCTCAACTATTCTGTAATTTAATATGGCTTAATATTTTTGTTTGGTTGCAGCCGTCTTCCAAGAATACTGTGATGCAGGCATTGGAGAAGGCTAAGCCCAGCTTACCGGCTAAACCTCAGCCCAAACCAAAAGGCAGTACAAGTGGAGGTGGCCATGTTGGTCGTGCAGGACAGACGGGTGGAGGACCATCAACCACTGGGGGAGGGAAAGGTGGCACACCAACCGGCAAGAAAAACATAAGAGCTCTCTCGGCCACAAGAATGGTAAGTTGTTACCGATAGTAGGTCTAAAACACCACATTGACGATACTTCCTTAATACTTTGTTATGTACATATCAATAAATCAAGTTTATAAATATTATATAGGCAAACCCATTTAGGTACTCATTAAATTAATGGCAAACAACTATTGACCAATCGCCTTGTGTACCTGCATTGTACATGGATGAGATTCTGATAATTCTTCTCCATGTCTGGCCTGGGGCCAAGCTTGATTCGAGAGCTTGGTCCAACAGGCTGTTGCTTGTAGCGGCCCCCCACGCCCACATACCCACTATAGCCTAGTTGATCTGGCACTTCTTGCAGAAACGTTTTGAGGGTGATTTGGAGTCTTGTGTAACTGGTAGAGCTTCTCTTTCTCCTATTGTCTTCAGGATATATTGGCATGAAGTTTTGTATACAATGTCCACCAGTTTTGCTCTACATGTTTGGTCACCTTTGTGAGGATCCTTCATTGTTCAGTCCATTTCTGTGGTTAAAATTACTTATTATAGGGGTCTTTTCTTTTACTCCTTTTCCTATTGTGGCTGCCTTTTTAATTTTTATCTTCAAGCAGGTCTAGTTGTATTTGTCATATTCCTGTTACCTTCCTGTATTTTTTTTTTTTTTTTTTTTTTTTTTTTTTTTTTTTTTTTGAGATATATACAAGAGTTGTTACATTCTTGTACAGCCACTAGTACGCGTAGCGTTTCGGGCAAGTCCTTAATCCTATGGTCCCTGGAATACGATCCCCTGCCGCGAAGAATCGTTAAAATTTAGTGGTGGTGGTTGTGAATCATACCTCTATAGCTGTTATTATGGTCCACACTGTTGCCATACTTAACACTTAGTGCTGCTGGCTGATTATCTTGGGTTAGGCTAGGTTAAGTTACTTGACTTAGTTTTTGTTTGAAGCTAGTTGGAGAAGGGTGATATAACCTGAAACCTCGATGGTCATCTTTTGATTAGAAAACAGCTTATGTGAATTGGATACGACCCATAGAGTTCCATGGCGTTAAAAATATTTTTATTCAATCTCAAATTATCAGTATTATTTTGCTGAACTTAAGGTTTAAAACTGTGTTTTAAAGTTTGTGTGCTATACATCACTTTAAATCTTTGTGGAATTATTTGTCCTGTAGGTTTGAAGGCTAATTGTATGCAAGTGGATTTGCTTTCATACATCATATTTCATAAATTTGCATTTATTTTTAGGGCTCAACTGCTGCACGTAAGGATTCGGAGGATGTAGACACGTCACCACTCCTCCAGGTGAACAATCTCAAGCAGCAGCGGGTATCGGATGAGCAGCGCCTTAGAGTACTACGCTGGGACTTTACAACCCCTCGAGCAGAGTTCATCACTCAGCTGAAGGATCAGATGACCGCAGCTGGGATGAATCGACAGTTGGTTTCAAACATGTTCCATCAGGACTTCAAGTTTCACATCAAAGCTATTGATGGTTTAAATGAGGCAAGTTTTGTGGTTTGTTATATAGAATGGCTAGGAATACAAGGTATGTAGAAGTGGTCTGGGTGGCACAGTGGTAGGGAGGGGGGCATTCACTCCATGTAATCTGAATCAGTGAGTGTATATCTGTTTTATAAAAAATAATTGGAAATTATATTTAAATTTTTTTTGTAGTAATTATATCATGATTGTCAGGTAATTTGGGCATTACCCAGTGACAGTTGGGTGACAACTTAGTTGCAAAAGTAATATTACATAAATTTTATAGGTAATTGATTTAGAAAGTAACTTCTATTTGGTTCGTTTATCATGTTCCTTTCTAGTGTTACAAAGCTGTAGAGCTGTTGTGGAAGGTCTACTGTTCTGGTTCTGTGTAATGCAGTTTAACATATAAATATGACATTTAAATGGGTGTCTTGTTATTGATATTTTTCTGATCAATTTTGTTTTCTCCTGATGCCATATCTTCACATTGCAGGAGCAGAAATCTTATTTTCACTAAAACTCTTATTTATTTCTCATTTGCAGGACCTCAGTTCAAACTTGCCAGCTTGTATTACCAACCTGGACTTGATTTTGAAATGGCTAACTATCCGATTTTTTGACACAAATCCATCCGTGATTATGAAAGCTATGGATTATTTGCAGCAAGTGTTCCAGTTTGTGTCGGAAGATGACTACCATTTACTAGATGCCGAAGCCTACTGTTTCTTACCATTTTTGGTCACTAAGGTGAGGGCTAACATTGTAATGATGCCTTGTACGCGAGGAAATTGAGATGCACCAAAGTAAAGTTTGCTGTCCAATAAAGAGTTTTCAAAGCATGTTAAAGTTTTTATATAATGCAGATATGTTTCTTAGTGTATTTATTAAACTGACAATTTTTCTTATCAGTTTGGTGATCCTAAAGATTCCATCCGAGGCCCAGCAAGAAATATTGCAAAGTTGATTTGTAATATTTATCCTGCTAGTAAAGTGTCTCCATATATGATGGAAGGACTAAAAGCCAAAAATGCAAGACAGAGAGCAGGTAATATAAAGCTACATTTTTGTGATTAGTTAATGAGTTGTGCTTGGATATAATCAAATAGTGGAGCTTGTTTACAAGATGTCACTTTTTAAATGTCTAAATATTCAAAGTACATCTCTGGTTTTAAATCTCGCCTTGCAGTTACCCTGCAATGATTTTGGGGCTTAATGTCCCCAAGGCCCGGTCCCCGACCAGGCCTCCGGGTTGCTGGACTGGTCAACCAGGCTGTTGGACGTGGCTGCTTGCAGCCTGATATATGAATCACAGCCTGGTTGATCAGGTATCCTTGGGAGGTGTTTTATCAAGTTCTCACTTGAGCAATGTGAGGGGTTGGCCAGTTATGCCCCTTATGTGTAGTGGAAGCGTGTTGAACTGTCTCGAGCCTCTGATCTTAATAGTTCTCTCTTGAGTACCTATTGTGCCTGCTTTTCACTGGGGATATTCTGCACATTCTGCCATGCCTTCTGGTCTCATGTGATGTTATTTGTATGTGTAGATTTGGGACCAGCCCCTCTAATATTTTCCAAGTGTAAATTATTATGCATCGCTCCCTCCTGCGCTCAAGAAAATACAGATTCAGGCATTTTAGTCTGTCCCAGCAGTTGTTTAAATAAGTGGATTCTAGTAGTACAGGATCTCTGCACGCTCTCCAGGTCAGCAATTTCTCCAGTTTTGAAAGGGGCTGTCATTGTGCAACAGTACTCCACTCTAAGAGATCACCATCGTCTTGAAAAATATCATCATTGGTATAGCATCTTTAGTTTGAAACATTTTTAGCTTTCATAGACATACTATCTATGGCTTCTTCAAAATCCAGTGGGGATAGGGTGACATCTGATATTTGATTTGATGTTGGTATCACATCATTGAAAAATTCATTCAGGTTATCAATTTTCAGTGTTGAGTGGCTCGCTGAAAGCAGTCATATACAGATTCCTCCATATTTCACTCATTTCTTTGTTGTCATCTGTGAAAGTTCTATCTCCCTTTCACAGAGGCCCAATATTAGACGTAGTTTTTATCTTGATTTTGCATGGGGGGAAAAAAATGGATTTGCTTCACTTTGACCTTTTGCTGTCTTTCTCTCCTGGATTTTGTATGATTCTTGTAGCTTTAGTTCAGTTGTTTTGGAATGGGAATGCTGTTCCCTTTCCAATCAACATCTCTTCCTCTTTTTTTTTTTTTCCTAGGGGTATGCAGTTTGAGCATATTTCTAGTACAGGTACTAGAAATTTGTTTTTCCCAGGTTATTTCTGTGAGATTTGTTTATTTGTTCCCAGTTAATGTTTATTATTAAAATTTTAGTAATGTTAAAAATGTTAAAATTGAATTGAATTTGCTGAATTCTCCTCCTGGGATTCGGGACTGGTTGTGTAGGTCTTCTCCCCATGCTTGTCAGAACTTCAATTAAATTGTGATCTGATAAACGGGTATTTATCATTATGTTCCTGATCAATTCATTATTATTAGTGAAAATGAGGTCCAATGTGTGCTCTTTCTTAGTTGGTTCTACTATTTGCTAGTTTAAGGCAAGTCTGTCACACATCCATAGCAGGTCATTTGCATGTGACAGTTCAAGTAGGCTACTTCTCGGTATTCTCTCAGATATAACTGTATAAGCTAGGTTCTACCATTTCAGGTGCCGTAGGTTGAAGCCCCCCCCTTCCAAGCTGGATGATAATTGGGGCTGGAGTTGTGAGGTTTTCTGAGCAGTGTTCTATTTTCATTAGATGGTCTTCAAACTGGTGAGGATTTGCCTCCAGTGACTTATATACAGGGACATTAACTACATTTAGGATCAATTTTTATTATCAGCACTATCAGCACTTCTACCATATCATTTGTGGTGTTCAGCAGCTTAGTGCAGATGATCGTGTGTCTGATATACAAGCTGACCCCATCCTGTAGCCTGTGTTTCCTGTTATATCTGAAAAGATTGTACTCTGAAATCCACGTTTCACCATCATTAGTAGTCCTTTGTGTGGGTTTCCATTAGGGCTGCAAACACTGCATTTGCCCCATGAAAGAGGCCAGCTATAAAATGAACTTTGTTAGATTTGTTTTTTTATACCCTGGATATTGGCAAATAAAAATGATGTTTCGTGTTTGTGGAAGTGCTGGATGCTTTACTTGGTGTTAATATCTGAGGCTCTGGTCGGGAAGTCACTGTGTCCTTTAGCATTTGACCGAGTTGGTGTCAACTGTGTGTTTGTAATGGTAACAAAAATAGTAATTATTAAATAATTCTTTATTAGATGGTGCATTTCTTATAGTGTAGGGCCTTTTGTCATGATGGACTGGATAATAATTACTCAAGTGCTTTTAGATTCTTATAATTCATCTCATAGACTTTTAATTTCGTGTTGGTCAATGATGCGTGATTGAATACTATGAATGACAAGTTTAGTTATATTTTTCCTCTTGATACCATTTAACTTTTATTTAATTCTAATTTGCCTATTTTCTCTTGAGAAAGTGGAAATGCAGTTACTATGGATGGCTAATTTGTAAATTATTATGTATGTACTTTCAGAGTGTTTAGAAGCCATTAGTAATTTGATAGAGGTATATGGAATGTCGGTGTGCCAGCCTTCTCCGGGTGTTGCTTTGAAAGAAATTGCTAAACAGATTGCTGATCGAGACAACTCGGTCAGAAATGCGGCCCTTAATGCTCTTGTCCAAGTATACTTCCGTGAGGGCGAGAAGGTCTTTAAACTTGTTGGCAATGTAAGTTTTTGTTTTTCCTCAATGATTTTTTTCATGATACAATACTGTATTTTGATTTTGATCTTATACATTATCATTATATTCCCGAGTTGCGAAAAGTAGCTTGTTCATTTTCAATTTTCATAATTAGATTTTGATATTTCATTTGCCTTTCTTTTATTATTTGATTTGCAGTTAGCTGACAAAGACATGAGTTTATTGGAGGAGCGCATCAAGAGAGCGGCAAAAAATCGACCCGTCATAAAGAAGCCACCAGTGGAACCCGAGGTACCAACAGTACGAGGGGGTGGTGCCGCCAATGGACGACCGAATCGTGTTATACCAACTGCAGCCCAACCAGCACCAGTTCTTGTCAGAGACAGAGAAAGTACTGCTGTTGGGGAGCAAAGTAGTCTATTGAAGAGGTAGGTTATTTACTTGAGCACTAAAATTTTATATATGGCAGTTTTTAGATGAATGGTCATTAGGTGTCATCTAATTTTTGCATTTCACTTATAAATTGTTTACTCATGTCATTTTTTATCTTCTTTAAAATAGTGTTGGCCTCTTTGATTATTCTGTATTACTCTGTTTCAGTTGCTTTTCTAAATTACTCTCTAGTATTTTTTTTTTGTTATTGTAAATAAACTGCTATACTGTTGCTAGAACTACTGAATCCATAATGTAATAGTCTATGCCTGTCATCATTACACATCACCTTTTTATTCATCTGTTATTTTTCTTGAATTTTTTCAGTTTTTGTTAGGTTTTCTTTTAGTATTAGTATTGTTTACCTGTTTACATCTTCAAACAAAAAATTTCAAATTATTTCAAGTTTGGCCCGAAATGCTTTGCGTAATAGTGGTTTTATTAGTGTATGTAACTTCTGTCCCCACAATTCTACATTACTCTTATGTTGTTTGTACTCGCATTCTTTTTAATAAAAATTTGATTTGATGTTCTAATACTATTGTACTTGCTCTAAAGTTGTGAATAGGGATATTTCCACAATTTATGCTTCAAGTGCATTCCATTTGTTTACCACCCACACTTATTACAAGTGTTCCTTTTAGTTTTTCAGAAGTGTGTTCATTTCCTGTTACCAAATGTCTTTTCATGTGGCAGATTTTTGTGGCCCACACTTCCCAGCCATATGTGTGTGAGGCCTGTGTGTTCTTTTTGCCTGCCAAGACGACACCACTTTGGTTCAAATGTTCTCATGATGGCAGCTGGAGCAAGTTGCCTGTATTTGTCTGCTTTGGCAGTGACCATTAACTTTCCTTGGCCGTTTGCGCAGCTCTCTTCAGAATTCAGGTGCCAGCTTTTCACTGCATGGGGGTACTGACCCAGTCTTATGTCTGCCTTGGTTGGACAGTCTTTTGTATACTCTAAGATGGTACATCTTTGGCGTTTTGTTTAGGGGGAAAAAATCATGTTTTTAGTATATTATAAGTTTTCTTTGGTCGTGGCTGTTTAGAATTTGAGGTTTCTGGTGGGTTGCGGTTGCATGTTGTTCGTCTTAACTGCTCTGATGTTTTTTATTTTTCCCCAAACAGCAAGTCAGCTCATGTCTTCTATTGAGTATGAGTCACAGGGAATATCTTTGTTCATTTCCTTCCTATTCAATTTAAATTTTACAAGACCAATACAATTGCATTCTATTGCAATTAGGAAGGATGCTTTCTTAGTTTTGGCTTTGTCCAACAGTGCAACATATTTTGTGGTCGGTGGCATCAGTGTACGTATCAGTAGGAAATAGTCATATTTCTCAGTTGATTCGCTGAGTGGTAATGTTGAGTCATTCATAAGTTTTTTCACGTCCATGCTTGCCACAATTGACGTTTATTGCGGAAATCTCCTGTGCGGATATCTATGCTCGGGTGTTTCGTTAAGTCCTAACATAAGTTTGCCTTCCAGTACCTTCACTGAGAGTATCCCATAAATAATCTTCTGATTTGGTTTTGGGTGTTGAAAGATTCAGCTGTTGTTTTTCACCCATCAAGAGTTTTTGCAGCCTTGGTGAGCTTTTGCCTTACTTTAATCATGGCGACTAATTCTGATGATTGCCTAAGGAGCAGCTTATGTAGAAGATCTCAAAAATCAGACTTTGAGTAATATGAGAAGCACTCTCCTGAGCAGTACACTATGGTCCTCCAATTACTGTACCTCCCTCCCACTGTGCTAGAGGTTTTATCTTTCCCTGGTTGCCAGGTAGAGAATGTGATGAGATTAGGTTAGAAACTTTGGTGGTGGTGATAGTTTGGTGGCAGTCAAGGGTAGTGATCTCATGGACCATTCAGTTGCTCATGGATCTCATGGACCATTCAGTTGCTCATGGATCTCATGGACCATTTAGTTGCTCATGGACCATTCAGTTGCTCATGGATCTCATGGACCATTCAGTTGCTCATGGATCTCATGGACCATTCTAGGTTGTTTTGTGGCCCGTGTGATAATTAGTAGTTGCTATAATGCTTTACATCTTGATATGAAGGCACTTTCTGACTGAATTCTTGACAGGATTAAGTATTCTCTAATGTCTTCCTAGCAACATTATGTCAACAAGGATGGTTCAAAATGTTGACCCTCTTTGGCTCCAAGATTCAAATTAGGGATAAGTTGGATTTTGCCTTAGTGATTAACCGTACATTCTCAGAAAAACGCTTCTCATATTTATTTAGTTGGATTTCTATAATAAATTTTATCTTTAATTATTGCATTATTTAATTAATTCTAGGTTAAATGACATTCTTATTTTATTTTACTTTAAAAATTCTGAACATAAAGAAGAATGTACAGGAACCCTAGCTGGAGCTCCGAGTCAATGGACAGGAGCCATGATGATTTGGGGTGGTCCCCACCTGTACACCACAAACCTCCTCGGCATAATTCCTCAGCGGGTGTCTCTAGTAGCACTAGCAGTTTGAGTAGCATGAGCAATATTAGCAGCATGGGCAGCTTAAACAGTTGTGATGTCGGTACAAGTTCAAACAGAGGTCAGCTGAAGGGAGATTGGCCATTGCCTCCTTTGCGTAGGAGGCCTCTCACCTCTGCTACATTAGAGCAAGCACGTCGCATATCTCGCTCGCTCTCATTTCTCTTGGGAGAGCCCGATTTGGAACCTCTGGCTGAAGAGCCACCCTCGCCTCACAATGGGCCTTGTCATGGGCTGCCTCCTCTTTCTCCTCATATGCCTCCTCTTCTCACAAGAACGGTCACTTCACCTCACTTCCCTGGGCAAGCAAAGTGCTAAGTTCTTGGTGTGGACATTCAGGTTGTGCTTGGTTTTGCGTAACAACTAATTTGTGTTCTCTTGGTTAATCCTGGGTGCTGTGTTTAATAATACTGTGTGTATATTAAGAATTTTCTAGTTTGAAAAGCCAATTGCTAAGATTATATTTAATGCTTTATTTCAGACAGTTTATCAGGATCTCCTAATAATCCATCAGAATGCCATCCTCTAATCATTATTTGTGTTCCTGGTTAGTTATAGTTCATCATAAATTTCTAACTCTTCAGTTCCCTTTCCTGTTCTTAAAGATTAGTCCAATACAGTTTGTCTTTTTATTTTTAAAACTTCATTGCTAGAATGTATTTGTGCATTTCAATTTGACCAAATTAAGAAATTCACTATTCTTTTCATCATCTTTTAGTTATATAGTTATAATTTAGAGTAAGCATGCAGAATTTTTGTTACTACTGTTTGATCTTAACACTAATTGAAAAAAGTCAATACACAGTATATGGTCATTGGGTGGATAGTTGTTACATAAGAACATAAGAATAAAGGTAACTGCAGAAGGTTTATTGGTCCATATGAGATGGCTCCTATTTATAACCACCCAATCCCACTCATATACATGTCCAACCCATATTTGAAACAATCGAGGGACCCCACCTCCGCCGCGTTGTGTAGTAATTGGTTCCACAAATCAATAACCGTGTTACTGAACCAGTATTTGCCCAGATCTTTCCTAAATCTAAACTTATCCACTTCGGTAGAGGTAGCATGACGGTTCACCTTGCTTTTGATTGTCTCTTCCTGATCTAACCCTGTTAGCAGATGGTCCCACTAGCTGTGCCATGTGCAGTATTACAGTTGCCTACGATCAAGATTTAAAGCCCTGATGCAGCAGCTGTAGTGGAAGACAAAACTGACTGCTGAAATTCACAAAGGTTTCAGAATAGAGAAAATAGGTGTTGTTACCCCCATTTGGTTAACAACCACAGACCTGCAAGCCACTAGTGTCCACAAAGTGTTCACAAAGTGTCCACAAAACACTGTACATGAAATACAGTTCTTATTTGATAAACAAAGTCACTTGGCTGAATGTCAGTCTCTGCAAAGTAACCTACTTTTTGAGACCAGTTACATTACCAGTTACAGGCTCTAGTCCTGTGATTTGTTATTGTCAAGGGGCCTACATTTGATAGCAATCGGGTATAACAACCAGTGATCTGCTTAAGATCACCAATTAATGCTAATTGATGATCTTAAACAGAAAGCAAGTCACAATAACACGGCTGAAATTTAGACACCCAGTCTACACATTTAAACAAGGAAATGACGACGTGGTTCATCCTGGACTAGATTTATCGAGTCATGTTCCATTATTTTCTGGTTATCTTAGAGGGTTGACGATTACTTTAGGGAGGGCTTTGATATTTTTGTTGTGTGTGTTCTGGCAGTTACTCCAAACTGGATATAATTTTTTCCAATATCTCCCAAGCATCAGCAAAACCTGGAAGGGACACTTTGAAAACATCCCTTCTATGTTGATTTATATTGTTGATGTGGGTAATCAAGCTCGGGCCAGGAGGATTTTTGCCTTAGCGAGCAGTTAAGTGACATAGTTCAAAAAGCTGTAAGAAAGTAATGTAAACATTGTATTGGAGTACATGCTCAATTTCAATAATAGCCATACTCTTCCCAATTAGGGATGCTAAATGGAACAACCGAATTAAAAAGTAACAGGAAAATCTAGATTATTCATAATGAAGATATTGTAGTGGTTACTTATTTCAAAGCTCTTTCAAATATGTATAGCTAATATATATATTAGCTCAGATATATTAACTAATTATATGTATATATATATAATTCAAATATATATAGAGTGGCGGTGTTCATGGTTACTAGAGCAAGTGTGATCTTTATTCTGGTTTTCATTCAATAATATTGGTGACCCAAAGTGTATGTACGTTACATAGGTTTGTTTCCTTTCCTTTTCTTAATATGAATATGGTTGTTGTCCTGAACCATGAATTGTCCTTTTCTTAATCTGAACCTGGTTTGAGTCCCATAACAATTGTTTTGGTAGTGTTAAAACAATATACGAAACTTGTATTGCCATCTAAAAATTTTGAAGTGTGTGTGTAGAAATTTATGTCCGATAAGACGAACAAAAATATGTGAATGCAGCATCAGTTATATAAGTATTTGCGTTTTGTGTAAATTTGTGAAAATATGTATTAAAAAAATATATATAAACTCTCAAATGGAAGTGTTTATTATTAGTATGTAATTTTCAGGTTTGGAATGAGAACCCAGCAGTCTAGCAATGTCAATGCTCCATTCAAAATTGATTATGGCCTTATTGAAAAACTGTTGGAGGACAATGACAACAGTGATAGGCCGCAGTACAACATTGAAGAAATCCCAGATATGGCTTCCTTACTCAATTATAAGCCTGTTTGTCCCACACCTTCTTCAAGGTGAGTAAAATAAACTCATTTGAATTTATTGTATGTAGGCTTGCTGAAATTTCTGTGTAAACCTTTGACATGCTCTATAGATGTCGGTATGGTTAGTTAAATTAGTCAGAACCTGTAAAAATGGCTATGAACTGGAGGTGAGATTCAAGAGGTATTTGGGGAAATAGTGGTTTGGCAGCAGGATGATTAGAGTGGAATAGGTTGTCTGCCAACATCGTAGCGGGAAATGGTATAGCCAGCTTTGAAATTATGCTTGATAGATACCATACATAGGGAAGAGGGGTTTGACCTTGATAGGCACTGACCATATCCGTGATAGCCACTGTGGTGACTAACTTGTAACAACATGCCACTTTAGTTCGTAGAGATCCTAGAAAGCCCAAAACTGAACCAATGAGGACAAGTTTATTTTTCAGGTACTAGTATTGATTTTTCATTACAATTTAGTGTTGAACCTAGTGGTGTAAAAGAGGATAAGAATAAGTTGGTAATACATAATGTTGAATTATATACATGTATCTTCAGACTAACCAGGCCAGGCTTCAGCTCGGTGTCCAGACCCATAACGTCAGCCTCAACGTTAGAGGCCGAGGGTGCAGCGCAGGCCATCAACATGGTCATATCTCAGGTGTGTTCTTTAGTGTTCATAAGTCATATAAGAATAATAATAATAATAATTTATCCAACATGAAATAAATGTGTGTATACATTATCTTCATTTGAACTGGATTTGAAATGGATGTATTATCTTAATTTGAAATAAATGTATAGACATCCATACACTAGGCTGAACCTTATATATAAGAATATATAATAACCTTGTATAAGAATATTGTAATCCAGAAAGGGTTTTGATACGTGCCCCAAAGTGGCAATTATTCGGAAATCCACATTTGTAAATTCATATCAGATTGAGACAGGATCAGAAATTTAAGGGTCTACGTGGGTTTTGGAAAGGCAATTTGGAAAACTGATCAACCCATAATTGTTGCATTTGGAGATCAACCCCAAATGTGTTGATCTAAATGTTCTGTTATTCTACTGTTCCCATTTTGATGAATGGGAGCAGTAGAACAACAGAAGTACACTTACATCGCATTAGGCTTGGATACCCATGTACACGGGAAATAGGCTAACAGGTTCCAGATGAGAGGAAATGTCAACACTGTGGAGAAATGCCCAACAGACCACGGGAACATTATCAAACACAGTGCAGAAGTTGTTAAACACATGGGGGCAAAATCTTACTGAAGCGACCATATGAGTCATAAATACTCACACTCTGCCTAAGTAAAACAGAAACAAGCAACACTTAGTGGGCCAGCCAGAGGCTTAGGGCTCATGCAGGAATTTTCCTGGGGGGAAAAAATTGGTTGCATCTGGAGATCAACCCCAAATTGTTTCATCTCTAGATGCAACAATCTCAGAGTGGCCACCCTTGTCACCCTATCCAGGTATGCAATATTAATTAAAAGCAATTTCCTTTAATATAATTTCTAGAAGGTTTACACTTCTAACCAAGTAATCAGAAAAATAAATATTGCCTTCTTTTTGCATGATTTGTTTGCATATGTTCATTTAATGTTATTGACTAGAGTACATTGTCTGATATTGTCCAACAGGTAGCTACTCCAGATGCCAATACAGTTATAACAGCATTGTCCCAACTTGATGAGGTGCTGCAGTCAGAAGAGCGGTGTTGTGAGCTAGCTCCTCACATAGACCAGCTGCTGATTGTAGCAACGCTTCAGTATCGTCTAGTTCTCAATACGAAGATGGCAAATCCTAACGTTAATAAGGAGGAGTGTATAAAAATTTACCGGTCGCTGACTAACTGTTTGATGATGGTAAGTATTGGTATATTTTTCTTGGTGCCTTGGTTGCTTGAGCCCACTTTTGTCAACTTGCATTAATCTTTTTTTTTCAATACAGCTGTACTGTATTACCACCGCCATCAATGAAAGAATGACAGCGGTGATTAAAAGTGTTAAAATGGCAAACAGAATTTCAAGCTACCATGCTGAACCTATAATCATCTGGAGATCAGTAGCATAGCAGAAGTTTGTAGATCACTCGAGCCATTTAAGAAACATATAATACTTGACTTGATTTGTCTTGGTCATTTTACAGCCTAAGTGTAAAATTTACATGCAGATTTTCATATTAATAAATTAGCACCAGCTGCTGCTTCATAACGAACAATTATCCCTTCTCCGTTTGCATATTTCTTTAGATTTGTTGTTCACAGTTGGCAGCATTACCAGAGGAACATAGGACCACACTTTAGGAAATCATCCTCAGTTGTATTTCAGTTGCTTCCTAGGAAATGTGTAAAGTACTATTAGTAAGTTGTCATCAGTGAAGCGACTAATAATTGATTTCTTGCAGATTTTCAACAACAAACAGCTCGGTACAAAGGCAACTCGAGATGTTCTCAGAGATGTTGTACATGTTCTTATTCATATTCTGTTGGATCCTCGCCTCTCGCAACTAGAGGATGGACCACAAATTATTCGTGCAATTAATGTGCTAGTAGTCCGTTTAGTCGAAAAGGCACAGTTCACTCACGTATTCAGGTGGGTCTCACTTGTATTGGAGCCTTGCATTTGATAAAAGTTTATTACTCTAGCATTTGGAATAGTTTAACAATAATTTTATTGGTAAGTAATATTGTGGCACCACTTAGAGGTACCATTGTCTTTGGGTTTGTTAGGTATTGGAAAGGAAAGGCTTGGAAAGGTTCTTCACAGGTGAAAAGTGTGAGAACAGAGTTTACGGTCAACATTCAGTTTTGCATTGGTTTGCAGTGATATCTCTTAAATATGACTTTCATGATGTTAAATAACTTTCTTACAAATTTTCATCTAAAAGTTCAGTTTTGGATGTGAGGAAGTTATTGAGCCTCTGTTTTGGTTGGAGGAAGGTGTTGGGGAAGGGATGTGAGGGGGGAGGGTTGAGTATGATCACATATTGTTTAGCTCAAAAAACTCTACAGTACTTACAATTCAAGAAAAAGAAAGTAATGATACATATCTCACTTACAATTGGTTAAATTTGCAAACCTTGAGCTGCTTTTGCACTGAATGTATGCCCAGATAGCATCACATTTATATTATGAACTAACCCCAAATGTATTACACATTTGGAGTTTTCAAATACTGGATAAGAGGTTTGCATGGATATTATATATTAATGAGTTGGTGTCTTCAGATCTTGTCGAGCTTCTTTTTTATATAGAAAATTTGGGTTAGCTCAGGGTACAAGTGTAACCTAGTGCCATGACATTATAATAATATAGATTTGTGTTATTCTTCAGTGCGTTACTGAAGCTGCTCCACGAGAGTGTTGGTAGTGGAGGTGGGTGCAAGTTCACTGAGCTGGTGATGAAGTGTAACTGGAAAGTTATTAGAATTCTTCCATCTCGCACCAGCGACCTCGATCTCGACCAGATACTTTTCGACGTTCACAATTTCCTAGTGGTGAGGAATAATGCATTTAATATGTTCGTTTTGTTATCCTGTATAATAAATAATATTTCATATGAAGATTAACATAGGTATAGTTTTAACTGTGTGAGAACAGGTTTGGAGCCAACTTTTCACACACTGTTGAATGGCAAAGACTATTACTAACAAGTAAAACAATTGTCAATTCATGGATAATATTGAAATACATTTTATAAGAACATGCATTTTAGCAAAATTTTTGACACAAATCTGTTAATCACATGCATGTAATTATGCATTTAAAATACCTGATTAGAATGTCTCAACTTGGCAGGAAAATATAATTTCACGAAACTTGAAAGGATAGATATATTTATTTTGTTGCTGTGTGCAAATTCAAGACATTGGCAAGAGTAATAATGCCTCGAGTGTGGCAAACTTGTAAAAACTAAAATACCTTCTTAATCGGGTGCAATTGAAAGTTTTCCACTCCCCTTGTTACCCCTGCACCCCCCCCCCCCCCTATCCCAGTGTGGCCTTGACACTGTCTCCTGATAGTTTTTTTAGAGTGCTCTTAAAATCAAGTTATGTCATTTCATAATCAACTTATAATTGTTGGCCTTTTTATGGCCACTTCACTGTTAAGAATAAGAAGAAACTTGTTCTTCATGCATTATATAAAAAAATGCTTAAAACACCTTCAAAAAGAATTTTTGCCTAATTATTTGTACATTTTGATTGCAGGCTTATCCAGTGAACACGTGGTCTGAGCGGCCATCAGATACCCCACTGCGCACGATCAAAACAGTCATCCACACCCTCTGTAGAGTCTACGGCACAACTATCCTCAGTCACTTCTCCAAAATTGACAATGCTCATGGGTCTGAACTCCATAAGTACCTCACTAAAGCCCTCAAAGTAAGCAAGTTTATTAAGAGTTAATAACAAGGCAGTATTTCGCAGGGTATGGCTTAATAATGTGCCTGTAAGAAATTTTAATCTCCAATATGTGGCATTTATATTCTCTGAAGAATGCAGTCATATTTTGGTTGGAAACTTTAAAGACTCCTATAATTATCATACTACCCTCTGGTAGCAGACTTTTTTTTTATAAATAGTTTTAAAACCATAATTGAGAGGAGATTTCTCTGCAAAACACTCGGTTTACTGACCAAGATTTGTATACTCGTGTTTTATGGCAAGCTATAAATGCATTTGTCTTGGTTGCAAACCCTATGAAGTTTTGTATAAAGGTAATTATGACAAAACACTAAGCTAGTTCAGCTATTGAGCACTGGAAGGGAAATGAGGACAAGGATCTGGGATAAGATGGATGTAAGGTAAGGTAATGAGAGAAAAGTTTTGCATTAGTCAATTATATTTTTTATATGTAAATAATGGTCTTAGCCTATTTGAATTTAAATTGTGTTTATAACTGCAGTGAGAGAAACAAAAACCACACTTTTCTAATTTATTTACTAATCGAGAAAATTAAATTAGGCGTCATTTAATGGTCTCTTAAGAATAGCATGATCAATGCAATAGTTGCACGACCCTTTTCCCGAGTGTCCTTCCTAGGAAAGAAGTTTCGAGTAGATGGTTGTGCCCTCCCTTCTCCCCTGGCACTCCTCAGTCACTAGTGGTAGAATAAAAGAGGTATTAGAGGGAAATGGGTATTTTGATAGTATCTGTATTGCAATCTGTTGCCACCCATTCCGTTGACTGTCATATCAAGACTCCATGGCTTACAATTACACTCACCAGATTAAATATTGCATTTTTATGCATATAAGATGCATTTCTTTGCTTGCCTAAAGAATGTCCAAAGCGGCTTGCGTGCAAGGCTCTTGGTTGTATCTTGCTTCCATAGACACTCGTCTACTTTGTATAATTGCCTCCACCTACACAATCAACGACACAAATGCCGCGCCTCTGTAAAAATGTGAATCTGATTCGGAACCATCATCACTGTTAAAACACTTCCACGAAGGACTAGTTTTTACAAAAATTAACTTTTTACATGTCTATTTTTCTTTTCCTAGTTTTCAATATAAAAACTATTTTGTCTATTTAATCTAAAAACATTTGAACAAGTGTGCTTAAAATATATAAAGTTAAGCAGGAAAACTAGACGTTTTTCTGTTTCCAGGCTTTAAAATATCACGAAAAAAAAGTTATTAGAAGTGCATTATTCATGTAGCATTAACGTCCACTCGTTCACACACCACAAATAAGATAAATCATTGTATTATTTACTGTTATTAACTTAACAGTACAGTAATTGTTTTGTTTGTCTTCATATACTGTACAGAGATTTGTATTCAAAAGATAAATATAGCAGATTAGGCGTATATTTCTGTATAGTACGACAGGTCCAGGTGCAAACATTTATTGGTGTTTGCTGTTTATTATCATCTAATGCATCCATCTTGTAATTGTAATCGAGGCCTAATATCCCAACATAAATAATAAACGAGTATAGCAATCTCTTTCAATAGGAAATATGATTTTTTCTGTGGGGAGCCCCCGTAATAATAATAATAATTTTTATTTAAAAATATACAGAACACGGTTTAGTGGTTGAATATTTATTATATATGTATATTTAATATAGGCACTAGTACGGTGAGCGTAGTAGATAAACAGTTGTAGCTGATACACTGGATTTCATTTTGGAATACTAGATGGAAAGATTTTGTATAAATAGGTGCAGCTGGATAACTGTGTGTAGTAATCTTGTGGAGAAGGCTTGCTACTATCCATCTCTTATAAACTAATTTACCATTAAATGTCAATGAAAGTTGGACATGTTTGATGAATTTGATTTTTTCTTTCATAACTACAATGCATGCTGTTCCCTTATATAGGATGACGTAAGTAGAACATTATAAAGGCATTTTTTATTATGTATTTTTGACACATTCCAGACAGTTTTCTTGTTCCCATACATTTAGATCCTTGTCTCTTTTTGTTGATATGTCCTTTGTATACATACAAGCGTGCGCACATCCCTTCATCCTTTAGTGTTGGTAAATATATGATGTGCATGTGATAAACCAGCCTCACACATGTACTCGATACATTGTGTAGTTGAACATTTTTCTAGTGAGTGTTCTATCAGTGCTTCATAGCTAGACCTGCAGTCTCTTAACTGAAAACACTAGCTCCATACAAACTGTTTTGTGAAGAAGAGTATATAGCAGTGTTTCCTTCTAGATAACATATTTTCACTTTTACTGTTTATTTAATTTTTGTAGGTACAGTAGTACAGTCCATTCCCTTTCAAACTGAAATCCATTGTAGCAATTTTGTGCATTGATAATTGCAGTTCTAAGCGAAGACTTTACTCGGAATCAAAACTGAAAATTTTACATTTGTGTATTGATCTCCATATTATTGTATAATTTTTATGAATATCTCCTTATGTGGATGAGTGTTAGTTTTGAGTCCACAAAACACTAGTCAACAGAACCATTGTATAAATACGTGCATCCATCCATCCATTCGGGTTTTCCATTCATTATAACTGATCTTCCTTACATTATACATTAACATGGAGTGTTCTTGACAGCATCCTGTAGTCATTTAGCAAATCATTGCCTCCCCAGTACTCCTGATACACCGCTGTTAGTATCCCGAGATGTGCCGGCCCAGATACCTCTTGATCTGTTGTGAGCAAAACACATCGTGTTGAATTCATATTCAAGCATGTAATCAATTACATGGTTACATGCATAGTTTGACCCATAAATAGCTCCATTCACTATCTGCTAATTATGTCCTGTCCTCAAATTGCCAAATGGGATTTTTACACATTATAATTAAGACTTAATAAGCTGAGCCACTTAACCCCTGGGCATCACTTATGAGTGTAGCCTCCAACACTGCCAGGCGCAAGAGAAAAAAATCAAATTAATTTTTTTTTTTTCTAAGATTGTCAATGTGTTTCCTGATCAAGGAGGGGAGGGGTAAAATTGTAGGTGACATTTTGGCCACAATAGGGCAAGGAAGTCAGGCAAAATTGAGGTGCTGGCACACTAAGCGTCCCGCGCTGTCAGGCAGGAATAGCCACAAAGATATTATGTAATTATTTCACCGTCTCCTTTTTTTTCCCCTAACTATTTAAGTGTGTAGTGTGATATATTTATATAATAAAATGTGTGAACCATCGCTATTCTCAAAAGTATGGTGTGCATATTATTAGTGATTCAAGGATTATATTCATAAAACAATAAATAAATAGTTTTGCTGTTATTACACTATATATATATACACACACACACGTTATATATAATTATCTGCATGTTTTGTTTTCCATAGTGAACCACTAAGTTGGTATGGTGAGTCCAAACAGCAAGAGTAGGCTGCCACACCCAGCCAGCTTTGCCTCCCTTCCTCCCTCCCCCTCCTTCAACACCTTACTGTTTGTGGTTTTATTACACGATATATCCAAACACCATAGTGGCCACCATACATTGCATGACAAGTCACACAGCAGGCAGCAGATGACACGACTTCCCTTCACCATCAAAATGGCTCCTCCCACCATACTCCTTTTGCTATTATTACACTATATACACACATTATATATAAGTATCTGCATTTTTGTTCACCATAGCGAACCACTGAGCTGGTATGGCGAGTAGACAATAATAGGTTGCCACAGTCAGCAGATGACACCCCCTCTCCCTACCTCCCTCACCAAGAGTACTCCTCCCACCTTACTGTGCACATTGCTAATTCTGACCACAATCCTGCTATTATCAGAATCCTGGTCACTAAATCCTGTAAATGAATCATTTTCCACAAGTTTATTTTGTTAAGGAAAGTGAAGTTAAGTGAAGATTCTTAAATGATCGAAACAATGGCAGTGTGCTGTGGCTAGTGCTGTGAATATCTTGAACAGCATTGTGTTTACTGATATCTGAGCATTGTATACAGTCATTATTGTAGTCAGGTTCTTCTGTAATACTATCATGGCTAAGTAATACCAGTTACATATATTTTTTGGCATTTTTAAGCAATGCTGTGGTCACAAGCTGAACAGCAGTGCTGTAAGCTCATGCTGTGTGTATCAGCCTTGGTTGCTTAATTAGTACTGAGGCTCTCACGCGCAGGAATGTTGTCCACTTTTTTTTTTTTTTTTAATGGCGTCTGTTTAGAAGAGGCCTGAGGAAGCCGATGTGACCCCCCCCCCCCGTGTAGCCGTGGGCTTACATTGTACTACCAACCATACATAGCTGTGGTGCGTCGTCTTGTCATAGTTACTCGCCCCAGCTATAAGTGTATTGCGCCCTTTAAGGGTTAATAGTTGATGCTTTATAACAGTTTTTTTTATTTAAAATACTCTTGCAGGAGAAAAATTGTAACACTGGAAAGGTTATTAAAAAGTTTGTTTACAAATTTAGCCAATGTGTGCTTCTATTATTTTAATGCCCTTTATTTCTATCAATTTCTCAGTGGTATGTGCATGCTGTGATAGATCTCTATTTCTATCGGGGCCTCGTAGCCTGGTGGATAGCGCGCAGGACTCGTAATTCTGTGGCGCGGGTTCGATTCCTGCACGAGGCAGAAACAAATGGGCAAAGTTTCTTTCACCCTGAATGCCCCTGTTACCTAGCAGTAAATAGGTACCTGGGTGTTAGTCAGCTGTCACGGGCTCCTTCCTGGGGTGGAGGCCTTGTCGAGGACCGGGCCACGGGGACACTAAAGCCCCGAAATCATCTCAAGATAACCTGTGTAGTTTTCTTATCATTAATAAATCACAATTGCTCCATTTGTGTTAGCCAGACCACCTTGGGACATTGTTTAGGAACTATACAGTACAATAAATGCAAAGGAAGATGAAAGGCTTTGTTTAAGAGCATGTTTCGATCCTCCTCAAGAAGGACAGACAGCCAACAGAAGTAGCATTCAGTGATTAAAAAGAAAAAAAAGCATAGTGGACTTGTAAAATTAAATGATCCTTTTTATTTTTTTAATTTAGTTTAGTTTTCTGTTCACTTTCATTATGATTAATGATTGTATACGTTTAACTCTCATGTGTCATATTGCCTTTTATGTTATGAAAACTGAATTTATAGACGTGTATTGTAATCAGTCAGACTTGTCTTGTGTGTGTGCAAGTACAGTAACTTGTCCGCATGGGCTGTTTGCATGCCTGTTACCCGGTTACATGTATTCCATTAAAATCATGTTTTTTTCCTCCAACATTATACAGTATATTAGGGGTTCTATACAGAAAAGGGAGATAGAAGTATTTTTCTTGATTTTGACAGTCCAAATAGAACTGTGTATAAAAAACATTAGGCTATTAAACATTTATAGGATTGATTATTTTGTCTATGCATAACATTTTGCTGCTCTGTGCACTAATTTATTTTAATTATCTAAGCAGAGAAATCTAAACTCTGCCCTGGTGTATTTTTGATAAATCCCAGTCCAGTGAGATGCATTGGAATGCCTTAAATTTACGATTGTTTAAAAATTATATAAACATTATAAAAATATTATATTTTGCATGTGGTATTGCACTGGTATACTGTCAGTTACAAAAGGCAACTTACACCCACTGTGTCTCAGGGTTATAACATTTCTCGTTAACAGAAACCAAAAACCGAAGACGACGGTGGCATTGGTGATAGCAACAGATTAGCTGCGGCGCAAGTTACTAATGATTCTGTGGAGAGTGGCAAATCCCCTAAGAGACTAAGTAAAACAGCCCACAACACATTATCCGAGATCTTCCGCAAAATTGGCTCAAAGGAAAACACCAAAGAAGTAAGTGGCAGTTAAATGTCTGTCTGTAAAAAGCACTACAATAGTTTCATATTTAGCTAGATATGCCTGATAATTACCACTAATTTTTGTTTCCAAATTTTTTTGGTGTTATCGACATCATGAATAAGTTTGACATTGAGACTAGTGTATGATTGTACAAGGAAGGAAGGGGCCTCTTGGCACTGGACCAATGTGGTAGATTTTAGATTTATTTTAACTTCAATGATCAATACTACGTGTCACTCAATTTAAAAAATTTCTTTCCGACAAATAATTCATGATTATTCAGTTTTATTTCATTTTGTCTACATAATGCTTCGCAAGTTATGGCATTGTGAGTATTATAGCTTTCTTTGTAAATTAGTTAGTTTATAAAATTATACATTCTGGTGTCGATGTGTAAACTTGATTCCCCCCTCCCCCCAGAGGTATTATGGAAAGTTCAATGCTAGATTTAGATAATGCATCAATACTGTTTTTAAACCAGATGGTTGTGGGATGTTCAGCGGGGTTTTATTTAGAGTATATATATACAGGAGTCATGAGCACACAATGCACTCCTTCACTATGGGGGACAAATTTTATAACTTTCGTGTGTCCTTTTTATTGTAATATTCTATATTTTAGGCTTTTAAGATAATCAGAGGCATAAATAACTACTTTATAAACCAAATAGAAAGTTGACAAGGACGATATTCTACGGGAAAATGTCTCGTAATAAAAAGTAACTATATTATTGTGTAAAGGTAAACACACAATGGTTGTTTAGTGCCCTGGTGAGTGTCCTAGCCTTCTGCTCTCCCTACTAGCTGTATGTTGTGCATCCATTGTGGACTATTATGGTTCAGGAACTCTTAGGATGCTGCAGGAGTTCCTAATGGGTGTAATTATTACTCATTAGCCTGAAGCGTCTTTAATGCTTGGCTGTTGAAACTGATACTGTCTCAGGTGGCACTGTATTATGAGATGTGCCATTTCTTCTGGGACAACCTTGAGCATATTGTCTCCTTCCACTATCAGTTTGTCAGGCAAATGAAGTCTCCTGCACAGTGAGATCACCTCACTTTCACTCTGACATTTCATCTGACCAGTAACATGGGGGCACAATTTTTGCAGGCAAGTCCTTGTATTCAGATTTTTTCTTAATTTTTTGATAATTGATATGATTGTCCTAAATCTATAAAAACAATGGTCAGCCTAGCTTTTTTTCGGGTGGAGTGACAGAATCACCCTTAAGTTTCATTCACAGTTCAACCGGATTTGTTAAAACATCTCTTATCAATGTTTTTTAATGATTGCTATTACAGTCAGATGCCCCAGAAAGCTTCAGCATTTGCTTCCTTTGCTATTGCTGCACTGGAGCAAACAAGGCAGGATAAAGAAGTCAAACTAGTTTGACAGTGATTACTGGATGTTACTCCTAAGCTCATACAGCTTGTTTATACGTGTAATAATGAGCCAGGGTGACATATCGGAATTCTGTCTTATGTTCGCTCCAACATAAAAATACTTTCCTTTTTATCCTTTGTTTTATTTTGTTCACATTGGCAGTTAGACGGTCACTTTTTAATACTGTATAAGGGCAAAGGTATCCTTATGTATATTTATATTTTATTTCCTACTTCAGGGCTTGATTCAGCTGTATGAATTCAAGCAGAGACATCCAGAGGCAGACATTGAGCCATTCTTAAGAAAATCATCCCAGTTCTTCCAGAATTACATTGAGCGAGGCCTGAAGAGAGTAGAAATGGAACGGCAGGCAGAAGTAAAAGTGGCGTCTAACCCTGCTTCAGAAAATGGGTCAAACTCAGGTAGGTTGTGATATGTCACGTGTAACGTTGCTGAGATTGTAACACTTGCACAGTCTTGTAAAATGTGAGAAATCAGGAACCTGAATTCTTAAAAAGCTTGGAAAATATGCACATACTACTGAAACATAAGGTCTCTTCTCGTAGGGAGGAGTCTCCTTGGTGTTCGGCCAGTTTGCTGTGTACAATCACAGGTTCTCTCTTTTCACAGTTACTGTTATGTCACAGGTAAATAGTTTTCTTTAAATGTTTGTAAGGATATTCAAGTAGTTCATGGGAAACTACGTTATTAGAGCCCCCAGTTTTCACCTATAAAAGTAGCTAATTTTGTTTCATATGATAACTTTTCATTCTATAGTTTTTAAAAATTGCCAACACCATGATAACATTTAAATCTTTACTTTTTAATGATGGGTAATATAGTTGAAAAATGAATAAATGTACTGCATACTTGACATTTAACTATTTACATTGTTAGTAGGTTTTCTAGGCTTTGCTTGCTTTAGTACAGTTTGTAAACCCAACTACTACATTTTTACTTAAAAAGGAAAACAGTTGGTGGATAGTGTTTTCTAATGTGTTAAATACTTGTTTGTTGTATTTTTATACATAGCTTATAATTTCCTAATTTCCCACTTTCATGTGGTGGAGATTAAAAGTTTTCTTTGTTCCTAAAGACAAAAAATTCACTTCTGAATTGGTTTTGACCAGTTGATAATCACACAACTCGATTCTCGAGCATTACTGATTTATCTTTATTGACATTGCTAAATTTGTTATATGTGGCAACACACAGCTACTCTGTTGATAGTTTGTGGTGGTGAAAGCCACGACTTATGTCCTGTGCTCAAAGGAGATGACAGAAAACTGGTCACAATATATGTGTGTGTGTGTGTGTGAGAGAGAAGCAACTGTAAAGTGTAAATCCAACAAATGTTGGATTTGGAATCCAACAACAAATGTAACTGATGAAATTGACAATAATTGTCCCAATCAACAAATGAATTGAGAAATACTTAGTCCAGTCTCATTCGACCTGAACAATGCAGTGTTTGCGCTTAGATTCCCCCCCCCCTCCCTAGACAAAATTATTATCAGTCGAATGCAAGAACATGCACTCTAATACCAAATATAATGTCTTGGAGAGGGGAATGAGTTTTATTATTATTAATAATAATAACCATGGTGTAGTGAATACAAGAACTATCTTCATAGTTTTGTTTTTACTGCTGCAACAAACTTACTACTGGAATTGAATCCTCGTGTTTCACGTGAAATTCTCGACGTTGCTGGATTTTTCCATACCTGCTTGATGAGGTTTTGGGAATTCTTTTACTCCCCAAGACATGGTTTCATTGCACCTCATTTCTATTTTGGACAGAAGATTGTGAGTTACATCAAAGGAACACACAGCTCCAACACTCTTCTCACATCTGCTCAACAGAAGGGGTTGCAAAACATTATTTATGGCACAAGTTCATTTCTATCTTGAGTATAAAAAAAAATTGTAGTTGCTGGAAACTGGGGGTTCTACATGTGGTGGACTGTTAAGTTCATGTTTTCTTTCTTTCCTTTTCCCCAAACTTCAGTCTGTTGTGACTTCTCTCTCTTCCCCGCAAGCTGTACTATCCCTTCTGCCGTCTCTATTACATCACCCCTTTACTCAGCTCTTTCCCATCCTCCAACTAGAATTTGTTTTTCATTTAGGTGTTAGTCAACTGTAGCCCTCCGTTGAGGCAATAATAGGCTGTACTACAATGGGAACCATAAAGTAGTAGTAATCCTCTCACATTTATGGTTCTTGTCTTGGACTACACTGACACTAAAGTGCCTCTAGTGGTGCTTTATATTCATTTTCTTCAGTTCTGCATATTGCTATTTCAATAAATGCTTTTCCACATTCTTTTTCCCCAAATTATTGGTTTACTTGTTCCATTCAATTTTTTGCTGTTTTGTACTTCATCACTTACTATGTGCTTGATGAGGGCAGTCCTCACTCTTTTCAAAAGTTGTTCTTCAGACCAAACAAGTGGTGATTGCTTAAGTTTTGTGGTAGCCAAACCAGCATGTAGACCACCTCAGCATTTTTTTCAGGTGCTCCAGTATCAGTAGAATTTAACACTAGAAAGTGTTAGAGAAGTTTAGGGAAGATTATGCATGTGGTGTCCTTCAAGGATGGGAATTTTGCAGATGGAATAAGGCAACAGAAGATATAGATCAAGGAATAGATTGAACACGTGCTTTTAAAGGGGCTATGTTATTTATTTGCATAATGCAGTAGGTTTCTTAATGTTTCCTCTCTACAGTGACTGCAATGCACCTGATTGGTACTGAATATTACATAGGATAGAAAGCATTACTAACTAGCGAGTAACAGAAAAGGATTTTGATATTTGTAACAAATTTTATTTTCTCAGCAGGACCTTTGGCTTCCATCCAAGTTCCAGACACCACCAACTTCAACATGAATGACCTTGTTGATCAATTCAAGTCCATTGCAGCCCGTGCTGGATTTGACAACACCTATATTGATACAGCTGTCAAAGATATCTGCAGCACTGAAAAGGAAGCGAAAGGAGACATCTCCGAGTATATCAAGAGCTTACCATCTGAATTTTCTGTAGAACAAACTATGGATCGTTATGGGTCTCATGATCAGTGAAACTTATATATTTTTTTTTTTTTCTAACTTGCAAAAAGCACACAATTTTTAATTTTAATCTGGGACAGTGTAAAGTAATGCGAGTAAACCTGTTTGAAAAGCAAGCCAGTGGCTTTGTGTAGTGGTTACTTGCTAGTGGAATTTTAGGTTTGGAGTGGATGTACTTGGTGTATAAATATTTTTGTGAACCAATTATCTTTCAAGTTGAGGAATCTATTTTTTCTCTACCAGTGTGAGACATGGTTCACAGTGGATGAATGGATGGTGGTCTTTGAAATGTGCCTCAAACTTCATCTCATTTGTATTTCCATTGTGTACTACTTACACAAGCTTGGTACGCTAATGCTACATCGTGAATTAAAAATAATATTGAAATTAGTTTATTCATTCCATCTGCCATATTAACCATTTATCCAAATCCATTGTATATGTTATACGTACATCTCTTGGCATAAACCTTCAAGGAATATGATTAAAATTGGGAATTAATGAGCGGTTTTTATTGGGTAAGTTATGGGTGAGTGCGTGCCACATTTCATGCTAGCAACATCCCTCATAGACACTGATTTGACGTCTCATATGAATCTCTGTCTGTATACTGAAGGCTGCTTAGTAAATAACTTAATCGGGTAACTGCAGTGTGTAATATATCCTTAACTGATAGGTTGGTGAAACTTGTATCTATAATTATATCTTCTATATAATTCATGTCTCATTCATAAATATCTGCACAGCCTCTGCATAACTAGTACTGTACTATATTTATTGATTTTTTTTCCTGAACGGATTACTGCTAGTGAGCATGTATAAGTGGTGTATCGAGCCGGAAATTCCATTAATATACATATATATCTTCAATGTGTTATTCACAGTAACGTATGACCTTAGAAGATTCGTGATCTCAAAATTCAGTAAAGTTAAATCAGATTTGTTTTTTATTTTATAAATTTTACCTTCTCTTTCCCCATCTGGTATTTATAGAGCAGAATCAGCTCTCACAGTGCATCATTTGTTACTTTAACTGACGTTATGTAAGAAACTTTTAATATCATTCCAAAATACATATTTACTTGTGTTTACAAAAAAAAGGAACTTTTGAAAGAGTAAAACACGAGTCCCTTAAGATTATAATTCGTGTAGCTGCATTTTTTTGCAGATATCATCTATGTTCAGATTTTCCTGAACAAGCCTCGAGCCTAACATTTTCTTCATAACCTGTACCATAATTATAATTATCATTCTATTTTCTCACACACCTTGGACATGATTTACCCCTCAGTGTATATGTTTGTACTTGAAAAACTCATTAATTGTAGTTTTATATATTTTTTTCAGTAAAAACTTCCGTTGCTAAGCACTTCTTGTAAATATTCAAGTTTTAGTTAAACGCAATTATCTTATCAAAATACCTATACTACGACTTATTGTAAAATGGATCGGTCAATAAATAATAGATAAAAAATTTCATGTTTGTATCTTTTTTTCCTTTTTGTACATAGTGGAAAAAAAACTAATTTTTGTAAAAAGATCACATGATCAGTTTCTCTAATCTTCATTTTGCACAAATGCGTGTATAAATGTGTCTCACACACGTGAACTTCAGTTTAATATACTTGTACTGTACAATGATTTGGTCCGTCAAAATCACTTTCATGTTAAATTTTTTTTAATCTAAATCACTTGGTGTATATGTATCACATGAATATCGGTGTGTGTTGCTTATTGGTGAATTATTTGAGAATTGTATTGTGCTCAGTTTAAACAGACATGTCCTTAAATTCACCTGGGAACGCTTTTGTGATGGATATAATGATTGCTGTACACTTTGTGGGCTGACTTTCATGAATACATAATTGACGTTACTGAATTTTTCAAATATTCAGCATTTTATAATTACTGCATTTAATTAACAGAAATACAGTATCTACAAAATTGACATTGGAAAAATTAAGATGTTTCAGAATGCGCTGGTTGACTCGATGCCACAAAAATTCCATGCCATGTGGTTAAGCAATCCTAGATATTTGAAGTGAATGGCATAATTACCATATGTATAAAAAAAATTATTGCTGCAATATGACTTGTTTGGATATAAGCAAACACTGAAAATGCTTGATTATTACATTTACGGAACTTGGTCTGTGAGTTATGCATATATTAACCAATTGTAATAAAGACTATTGGGCTTGATTTTCTTTTACAGGGAAGCCATTGGTAATGATCTTTATTACTTGCACGTTTATCCAGAGGCTTGTCCATTGTACAGTACATACTGTTATTATGAGAATAAAGGCAACTGCAGGCATATTAGCCATATGGGGCAGCTCCTATTTATATATACCCAAACTCATTTATAATTATTTACTTTACAATTAAAACAACTCGGCAATCACATTACGTAATTAAAAAAAAAATTTAATTTTGCCCCGAGGGGCGAGTATTGGGCAGCGCCACTCATCTTGTGAGTGGACATACTGCTATAGCAGCTTGTACAACATTCCCCAAAATGAAGAAAACCCGCTGGGTTGTTCATCTTGTCACTTGTACCCATACACAGCTGGGACTTGCTTAACTGTCTCAAGTGAACAGCTCCTCAAACAAGAAGATTAACATCTATCAACCCTTAAAAGCTTACGTTATCCTGTGGGTGCAAAATGGGGAAATCTTTTAAGAACAGTATCAATATTTGACAAAAAGTGTTTTTCTAACTCAAACAATGTGGGGTGTATTATTCTACACACTTCTGATGTCTCTCAGGTGTTCACATTCACGTAGATAGTGGTCAAGGCGGTGTCCATCACTCGCCACAGATTCTGCAACTTCGCTGATCAACTGTTGTTTCCATTCCATATCTCCATGGATATTTGTATCCAAGACGGATTCTCACTACTACTAATTCTCTCCCTCATCGTCCTCCTCTTCGGCCATAATGATTGGGATTGCCAGCTGCAACCATGTTGTACCATCGTACAGATTCACTGGTTTGTGCTTCTATCCTCCTTTCCTCAGTTGTCTTGTCACGGTGATGTTGCCTGACAATACCTCTAATTTGTAGTAGAATCTTGGGTATGAAGTATTCAATATGGTCTCCTTCAGCAGCCAGCACATCTGCTCGTTCATTCCCACATATTCCAACATGGGAGGGGATCCACAGAAACTTGATGACTCTTCCCTGATTGGTAAGTACTCTCACAGCTCTTTTAATTTCATCGACTATTGCAAGATTTTCTGCCCGATTTTTACTTAGGCTTTGCAGTGCTGCTTTTGAATCGGTGCAAATCACTGCACCATTAGTGTTCCGTTCAAGAAACCTTAACGCCATAACAATGGCCGTTAGCTCTGCTTGCGTTGAAGAGGCATAGTTCTCAATACGCGCTTTTTCTTCATTTCTGCGTTGGAAAGTTGGTGCTGAAGGAGAGACGAGATGTTCTGATGCTGGTCCAGAGATAAGTGAATGAAGTTAACCACAGTATTTACAGTCCATCAAAATAAAGGGTCATTGTGTTCACATTATTAGTCATATACTGACATTAAAATTTACAATGTCAGTATGTGACATAACATTTTGTTCACTTTCATCCTGTAAACATCCCAGTGTAACCAAAATGCCTTAACATAGACATGTGTAAAAAAACATCGGTATATACAAAATATTAATTTATATTAAAAAAAATAAAGTTTATTTTACAGTACCTTCTGAGTTTTAGTTTATTTCATTTATTATGCATCACATATACATCTTGTGGGCAGTAGTGGAAAAGGTTATAGAGGCACATAATGAGCTCAGGGACTGAATCCAAAATATATTTGGTTAACCAAGTTACAGTGTTGATAAGGTAAGGTAGTTACAGCTTTTAGTTAATATCAGCAATGAGAACAACCACATAGTCTCTTAAGCTAAGCAACATATATATGATAAGCTTCATAATTTCCAAGGTTATAGTAAACTCCTTTTTTTAAGCCAAATTCTATGGCTAACTTTCCAGGTCTTTATCATGCATTGGAGGCCAACATGAGATGGGCTATAACAGTAATTTTGTTGTATTTGTGTCTAGCATGACACTCGAGCATGTTACAATTATCTTAGAGTTTAATGCAATTAAATCTGATTAAGAATCACTTACATTGATTAATGTCAAATTTGAAGACTTACACATTTGAGTGCAAGAAATATTGCAATGAACAATATTTACAATATGGCTAATAGTTCGGTTTAAAGGGTCCAGTTGTTTATACGGAACCATGACCCATTATCATGATAACTGCACGTCCAGCTGCACTCGTGGGTCAGTGTATTCACCTAGTTGTGTTTGCGGGGGTTGAGCTTTGCTATTTCGGCCCGCCTCTCAACTGTCAATCAACTGTCTACTAACTACTTCCCCCCCCCCCCACACACACCAGGAAGCAGCCCGTGACAGCTGACTAACTCCCAGGTACCTATTTACTGCTAGGTAACAGGGGCATTCAGAGTGAAAGAAACTTTGCCCATTTGTTTCTGCCTCGTGCGGGAATCGAACCCGCGCCACAGAATTACGAGTCCTGCGCCAAATTCATGCTATTCAAATTCATGCCAAATTCACGCTATCCACCAGGCTACTCCTACGGTGTTCCCTACGGTGTAGGGAACAATCTGTGTATATGGGTTGAGAGAGAGAGAAAGCAGTGTAGACAAAGTATCAATATGGTTTAAGAGCCTCAAGACGATAGTTGGGCTGATCTTTAATGTGCTTCTTGGGTTAAAACGGAGGGATACAAATTTGAGAAAGTAATCTCCCACGATGCGGGAAAGTGCCGTTGGTGTCTCTTGCTACAAACTATAAATCTGATGCGTTCTAAGTTCAGTTTGTTTTAATTCGTTGTGGATTATGTTGACCTTCAATTAAAAAAAAAAAGAGGGGGAGGGTTCTGGAGGGCTTTAACTCATGGATTAGCATATAAGTTAGCCTAAGTATATATATATATATATATATATATATATATATATATATATATATATATATATATATATATATATATATATATATATATATAAATTCTATATAAATTCATATATATATATATATATATATATATATATATATATATATATATATATATATATATATATATATATATAAAAAAAAGAATTTAAATAACGCAATCAGCTTCTTTCTCACGTAAACCAGTATTTGGCTTATAATTTGGACTAGAGAGAGTGGGTAGTTACATGACCCCTGACAACTCAACTAATGTAAACAAACAACGAGGAAGCGCTGGGATTGGTGGGTTGCAAGCCAATAGGAAGGTCCGTGTGCCAGTCCAACTTGGACACTTGAGTGAACGGTTGGTTACTGATTGTATTTCGGGCTATTCATACTTGTGCCACCTATTGGGTGGCTTTATCTTGATCAATCTACTGATTGTTGCTTCCAGTGGCGGCTTGTGTAGTGTGCACCCCAGTGACCCCGTGCTCATCTTGTGAGTGGTGGACGCTCAGTGGTCCAGGTGGTGGCCATGGCGCGAGGAGGAACGGTTGTGATCAATGGTAGGTCGTTACAATTAGTTTTTAGCTGAGGAAAGTCATGTGCTTGGACAAACATATCAAATTGTGACACTAGGCTCTCCACATGTCAGTTGCTTAATTTAGAAACTGTAATTGTGGTCGATCTTGAACCCATTGTTGATGTGACGATGTACATTGAATTTTGTAACTAGCTCATCAAATCAAATCAAATCAAATGTTTTCAGGTAAAAGTACATGCATAGAAGATTAGTTACAAACATAATATTGGATTTATAGATAGAACTAGTACATACAATACCTAAAGCCACTAGTATGCATAGCGTTTCGGGCTCAAGATTGTAACTTGCTTAGCTAAATGAATTGTGGGGTTCAGTCCCTGAGTTCATTATGTGCCTCTGTAACCCTTTCCACTACCGCCCACAAGATGGATATAGGGTGCAAAATAAATGAACTAAACTGAACTTGACTAGCTCTATAAAGTTCAACGACTGGGGCACTAAGATGCAACACAAAATACAAAGGTAGAAAGGGTTATCTTAGACTCAAAAACATTTTGATACTGTTCCTTATTCACTCTTGTGTTGATGATATCCTCATAATGCACGCAGAGATTGCCAGTGCAGACTACTGATCACATGTCTCTGTATGACTAACCATCCTGTGTGATGGGGATTTTTCAGCATCACGTAGTTAGCTTTTTTGACACACTGTACTCCACTTCATATAGTCTAGGGTAGCTGTACAAATGCAGATGTACCTCATGTATTAATAAAAAAAAGTAAACCAACAGTTGGAATGCAATAAAAGAACATTAATGAAATTCATCATCATCCACAACTTCAAAAGCAAATAAGACAAAATTTAAAACTTACGAGAATTTAAAATGCAGCAAGAAGTATAATTTGGTAGCTAGGGGATGGGGGTGGGGGGTGTCCAACCAGATCAACCTTGGCCATCACACA